GTCTCAAATAACAAACAAATCTTCTTATCTTCGAAAGTTTACTCATACCTCATGCTGCTTCTCCACCGTGAATTTAATAAAAAAAAAAGTAAGTACTAATCGTTACATTAGCGATTCCATATGCGTCCGGGGACGATACCTCTTTCTTCGGAAATTTGTATACACTCGCGTAATGATCGACGAAAATAAGGATGGAGCCATCCCTTTTTCGCCAAGTTCTAAAATCTCCTTAAAAAATCTTGAGATGCGCCTTAACTATCATGAGCATGCATGAAATATTTGCCACTGGACGTTAAGCAACCATCAATCAATCATTACCGTTATATCAGTCGTATTAAGAGGACGTGTTTTTCGCAAAATATTTGTAGTCAATTCTATGGTTGGAAACTTCATGAGTATATTTCAGTTTATGCTACAAGGTTGTATCTATCATAGTATTTTGGTCGTCTCACATGTTTCTTTTTCACTGATAAATTCTTTAATTTTAAATATAAACAAAAATATACTTAACCGCAACAGTGTCAAGAAGAAAAACAGATACAACCAACAGGATCTATCCTTAACCTCTGTGCAAACCGAAAAATGGCAACACGAGAAACATAATAGAGTAATACCTAGTGCAGATGAAATAAGTCTAACTCAACCTTAACAATCTGGCCACAAGTATTGCCCTCGTTAGTGTGAGTATTATTGCTGGTATTCCATTGAAATCAATGGCGAGCTAAACTCCGCCATAATTTTGATTCCAGATGTTCTGTGTTTAAAATTTGTATCGGAACAAAAAGAATAGAAACGCGATTGATTAAATTTTACAAAAAAATAACATCAACATTGGCAATGCTTTGCAGGATGGATAGTTTTGATGGAAATCTTTGGATTTCAATCTGATTTAAGTCCAGATCTATCGTAACTCGTGTATTCGACAAGCTCTTATGAGCATAACGAAATCAGAGCTCTCTTTTTTAATGAGATTGCCTCATTTTCATTGTCCATTGGTCAATATATTGTGTTTTTGTGGTTAGATATGTTTCTCAGAAACAGTCTATTTTGGGGCCTTTTATATAGCTGATAGCGGTATGGGTTTTGCTCATTGTTGAAGGCCGTACGGTGCCCTATAGTCGTTGATTTCTATGTCATTTGGTTTCTGGTGGAGAGTTGTCTCACTGGCAATCACACCACATCTTCTTATTTTTATATTAGCAATAGTTAAACTATAATTGATGTATGGAAGGCTTGTTAGGTGTACATGTCTGTCTGTCAGAGTTCGTCTTACATTGATCTTGTTTTCATTGTGTATTGGTAACGTTAGGTTTTTGTGGTTAAGTCCGTTTCTCAGATACTATAAACAATGGGTCAACTTAAGTTGGTGTTTTGAATGATTGTAAAATGTATGTCAGTTTGCCAGGTTTCGACTGATGTTGACCTCATTTTCTCGGTTCATTGGTGCAACGTTCAGTTTTTGATTGTTAGGTCTGTTTCTCGGACACTATAAGTAATATACCAAATTTTCTTAGTGTATTGAGTCATTGTAAGGTGAACATATAAAAATAAGGAGATGTGATATGATTGCCAACGAGACAACTATATATCCACCCGAGTTCAAATGAAGTGAATGTAAGCAACTGTAGGCAACCGTACTGGCCTCTACCTCATTTTCATTGGTCAACGTTAAGTTTTCGTGATTATGAACGTTTCTTATATGCTATAGGAAATAAGTCAACTATATTTAGTGTATGGAATGATTATAAGGTATACATGTCCGTCTTGCAAAGTTTATATGAACGTGACACAATGGTCAATATTAGGTTTTCGTGGTAAGGTCTGTTTCTCAGAAACTATAAACAATAGGTAAACTATATTTGGTTTATGAATGCTTGTAAGGTGTACATCGTCTGTCTGACAGACTTCATCTGACCTTAACCTCATTTTCATGGTTCATCGATAAAGTTAAGTTTATATATGAGATGACTTTAGTAAAACCTTGATCTTACAGACCTTCAACATAAAATTCAATCATGATCAGTAAGGAGGCGAGACATTTCAGTGTGTGCACTCTTGTGAATAACTATGCAAGACAAGACAAGACAATATTTTATTTAAATCTCACCTCTTCATTTTATAAAACATACAAATAGTTAATAAAACATAATCATAAAACATACATGAGCCACTCTAAAAAGAGTTACGAGAGACTATCTAAAATGTATATACATTATGTGCATAAAAATTAGCAATATAAAATACATCTTCTTTTCAATAAAATGTCATTGCAGATTTTGGCAGTATAAAAGTACATATTTCCATCTGTGAATATAAATGTAAATTTTATCGTCATCAGATAAATGCATAAAATTAACATTACATAGAGATGCTTTATAAAACAAATAACAACGCAAATATTCATACACTGGACAATTCATTTGCCATGGCAGTCGAGTATCTCAAAACTTTCAGGTCAGGGTATATTGAAAAGACGGACAATTTGACGACAGATAATCCAGTGATGCATAGTTTTGTTAAATGAAAATATACGAGTAAATCGACTAATCTATTGTTCATTATAATTCCATTCTAGGCAAATATTAACATGATATACAGTTTACAAAATATATGATTCGAAGGTTCACATAGAAAAATGTTAGGCAAACAGGCACTCTCGGTACATCACTTTCATAAACAGATTTCATTACATACAAAATTAAGCAACAGCGTCCAATACTATGCGGGAAAAAAACACGCAACAGTGTCCAATATTGCACGGACAAAAAACACGCAACAGTGTCCAATATTGCACGGACAAAAAACACGCAACAGTGTCCAATATTGCACGGACAAAAAACACGCAACAGTGTCCAATTTCTTGTAGCGCAAGCTATTTGGTATATGCAATACTAGTAAACAAGGTATTGCGAAATATATATATATATATCCGTTAATATGGTCCAGTCTTGTCTGTAAATCACTGTAGCAAATTATTTTATTCGTCTAGGGCCTTTGGTTGAAATAAAAGTATCTTATCTGAAAAAATAAGATAAAATGAAGATAAAGTAATATTTTATATAATTCTATTTGGTTAAAATCCTCGTACAGTAAGCTGTATAATAGAAAAACAAAGGATATGGGGTATACATTACAGTGTAGATATTATTTGTGAACGTATGCCTCAGAAATAAAGTATCTTATCTTACTTATCCAAAAGAAATTGAGTCGGATATGAACAGTAAAATGACATTAAGTACTAGATTTCCTGAATGTATCATTTCAATCGCTATTGTTACGACGTCATAATACATTTAACCCTTGATTTATCTAACAATGATAATTATTGTAGTTTCTAAAAAAATTACTTAGATATCTTACTATATAGATATGTATAAACATTGATATACAAAAAAAAAAGCGTCTGTCAAAATATGAAAGAAATAAAAGACTAAAGACTTGGTGGGATTAAGAATATCTTAACCAACTATTATTCAGAAATACTAGAAAATAAAATAATCAGTTTAAATAACGAAAAACAAACTTTTCTTTATTAAAGCATTAGATTTAAACGGAGACATATGATTTAAGCAAGATCTCCGAATAACAAAAATAGTGACCGTAACAGACAAATTACTTATCACGAGAGAAGGGCAGATATCTCAATTTAGAACGTGTTAGGACACCCCCCCCCCCCTTTTATAAATTGCTGGATCCGCCCCTGTATAACTCTTAATGAGATCGCTATAGTAATCCTATATTTTCATTTTTTCTGATACTGAGGAGGGACGACATTAGATAAGATATGATAAGATAATCTTTATTTCAGACTCAAAAGGTCAATATATATATATTAAAGGAAATCTATGTGTGTATATACATTTGATTGGACATAGAAAATTATATTCATCTGAATATCACAAACATACTAGCCGATTGAAAAAAAAAAAATAATTGTTAAGATATATTATTTATTCAAATGTTCTCTTATATCCTTGAGGCATCGTCCCCTGGTATCAACTGCATTCAAGTTACCTATGATGCTTCCTTGTTTGCTTTTGATACAGGTAGGAAAGAGACATTTACACACATTTTACATGCCTATGGCCCATAAGGTATCGCCCCCTGGTGTCAGCTGCCTTTAGGAAACCATAATGCTTTCCTATTTGCTGCTGACACAGGATGAGTCATGGACATGTTTAATTTCTACTTTCTTTTTGGCTAATTATTATATATTTAATTGATCCAACTTTTTGTGTACTATACATATGTGGATATCTATTTTTCTTTTTTTCTTTTTGGGCTGCTTGTTTGTTATCTATATCAACCACACTTGCAATAAAATGCATTAGTATTAAAAAAAACAACATACTATAGATTCTTTATCTACGTATTCTTTAAGAACTTAAATAGTTCTCGTTTAACTTTTTTTTTTTTTTTTTATCTCATTGTTTGTATTGTATTATGAAAAATTATTGATGTTGTAATGTTTATGCCCTTTGGGGCCCATAATTGGAAATAAAATATCTTAAAAAATATCTTATCTTATATATATAGATACTTGTGGTATAGCTGGGAACAGTATATCTAAGCTTAGATGTATATCTAGATAATATATATGTTCCTGGGTATAGTTGGACATTTGTTGATGCATTTAGTGATTTTTTTTAATTTTCAGTATTTATTCAATACAAAAAAAATTTTGGAAGGATCAATAAAATATTTTTTCCGGAAGATGATCTTAAACTGTTTTTTGTTCAATTAATTATTTGAAGTCAAATCAAACTTTTTTTTCATTTTCCACATGTGATAGAATTCAATCTCAAGATTATCACATGTTTTTCATTGATTGTTTACCTTTTTTATCTATACAGAATACGGGGCCTGTTGACATTTCATTCAAGTATAATTACTATCCCATAGGTTATCACGTGAGCCCCGGAAATGCACATTAAAAGTGATAGTAAAAGATACGCAAGCGTAACCCTCCCTCACGCATGCGTACTGTCGTCTATCGTGTTATCAGATGTTTCCTCATGGCAGCAACGAAACGGTTGTGCATGGGTTTCTCCTCGAATTGGAAAGATAATAATGCTAAGAATTCAGGATCTAACAATTCCAAAAATGGACAGTTGTGTAAAGTGGAGAGCCTTCTTGACATTTGTGCTAAAATTGTGGCTGAAAACATACCGTTTCAAACGGTAGAACAGAGATTTGACCGAATTCCAGAGCCTGTTCAAAGTCGAATTGTGTTTTGGTCATTTCCGCGTAACGAACGAGATATTTGTATGTACTCATCGTTTGCTGTTTGTTCGAAAGATGGTTTAGATAACCAGAAACTTCCCTTTCACTTGGGAGTAAAGCTTCTTGAAAACGGTGCTGTTGACAATGTTTTACAAATTGGTAAGTTTCACCACACCTCTGACTTTTTATGAGGGTCTGTCAGTGCGAGTATGTCATGCATGCCGGCAAAGTGTTTTCTGTGTAATTAACTTATATTGAATAGTAACAAAATATTTTTTAATAACGAATACACGTAATCGATCAGTTGTGACTGACTGTCCTGAAACAGATAAAACTTGTAAAGTCCATGACACTATTGATTCTTCAACCGTTTCACAACACTGATATCAATAGCAGTAGTTGACTGTTCACACAGGAATTCGCAAACAGTGTTCTAAAATTATTTCTTAAGTTTTTATTTATTCATTCAGACTTATAAATAGAATAGATAATGAAGTTAACCAACAGCATGTCTTTGAAGATGATAGAAATTTTCTTTGTTCCCCATTATTATATAATTATTTTTGTAATGTATGCCATGTAATTTTGTCTGCCATTGTTTGTGACAATCCAATAATCAGTTTATTGATCATCACATTATCACCTCTGATTGGTAACCCAATTAATCTGCAGGCTTTATTCAAAGGATATATGGTATTGATTTTGAAACAGAAATGCCCCTGGAGTCATAATCCCTATAAGACTTTACCATTGGATATTGAATCAAGTGCTAATGCTCTGGTTTCTTCATTAGAAGGAAGCCTGGTGAGAGTAGAAATCCTGCTTTAAATAATATAACCATTTGTCATGTTCAAAGAAAAGAGCTTGTTAATTAGCCAGTATGTTGCAACTGAACTGGTTTTTCCTGCTATTTCCTTGTTGTTTTTGTGAATTCAAATTGATTTTACAGTTAAATCTATTAAATTGATTTACAGGTCCAAAATTTGGCTAATATTACTTTTAGTGCATGTCTTCAAAACTAATAACTAATCTTATGACAGAAGCTATCCTGCAGCTAAAAGTTGATTACTTTTTTACAGTTTTATAGGAAGTGAGTTGGGGACATTAACCATGTCTTTAGGTCCAACTGGACATTATTAGTATGACTTCAGGGACAAAATCTGGAGATTGATCTTTGGTGTTCTATGTGGTCATCATTATTCATAAATGAAAACAGATCATTCAAAATATGTCAACATCCCAATAAATGTGGTTCTGTTCATTCCTCCAGGATTCATATAGTCTCAACTACTATGACCTTGAGGTACAGTGTACATGAAGTGGCACAATTATACATTAATGATATGTAAAACTGATAGTACATTTAAGTTATGATTTACACAAGTGCAAAAAGACTCCAGGGACATTTATCTTTACAACATATCCTGAATATTCATGTTTATTAACAAAATTAATAAACCCACATTGATAATTTTTGGAGAGTGGCCTTGATTGGTCTTAAAATGATACTTATTTTATCCAAGTACCTATTGATTTATAACTTGTACATGTATGTACATTTTTGTTAATACATGTATATATTAACAAAATTAATAAACCCACATTGATAGTTAATTTTATTAACAAAAATGTATATACAATGTATATATATTACACACAGCTATTTGAAAAATGCAAAGTATACTTTGTAGTAAAAAGTCTTTCCTTGTATTATTTTTAAAAAGATTTTAAACCAACATATATTCATATACATGCATGTATAAATGTTTGATACAAGATTGACACTGCTGGTTATAAAAATAAGAAGATGTGGTATGATTGCCAATGAGACAACTCTCCACAAGAGACCAAAAGACACAGAAATTGACAACCATAGGTCACCGTATGCTTCAACAATGGGTAAAACCCATACTGCATAGTCAGCTATAAAAGGCCCCTAAATAACAAATGTAAAACAATTCAAACGAGAAAACTAACAGCCTGATTTATGTACAAAATAATGAACAAATAACAAATATGATATACAGCAACATACGACAACCACTGAAAAGGTAGTTGTTTTTTCTTAGACTCTTATATTGACTTGTAGACTACATGTACATTTTTGTACATATGTATCTTTCTGAATATATGCATGAAATACTTGCACCTGGATGTTATGCAACTTGCAATCAATACAACTTCTATCAAAAAGTTTGCCACTGGAAATTAAGCAAACAACAATCTATCCAATAGTTTAAGGGGAGATTACTCATTGGATTTATATTGTAATGGCCAATGTACTTTGTAGACCACTTTTTGTAGATTGATTTATATTCTAATAAATCAGACTAACACTACATCACAGTTCTTACAGAATTACTTTCCTTAAGGCACAAGTTTTTGTCATGTGCCAGGTTTTGCATACATTTAATCATTAATGCTATTGATAATACCACAGGTATTCCGCCAGGCTAATGACAAAGCCAAATCTCAATTAAACCCACATTTTATTATATACGGAAAATCTTTATTGGGCTCAATGACACAAAGCCTTAAACTTTTCATATTTGTTTTGGTCAACAATAGACGGAATTATAACTAAAGGGTATTGGTCATTTTTCAAAAGTTAGTTGAGTAAATTGACTAGAAAGGTGTGACCAGCTGGACATTTGTGGTGGGACAATGTAGACAGCTAGTCTCCAATAAGATAATGATTAATTTTTATAAGTGATAGTGTTTTTTGTTGATTTCCTCCACATGTTCTGTTGTCAATCACATCTTGTCCCAATAATGGCCAGTTTTATAAACAGTACTGATTGTTTTAAAATACCTGTATGGCTGGATCTTCTTGATTCAATATTCTCTTTTATTGTCATGATTTCATTAAAGGATAGAGTTACTATCAGGCTACATGTTCAAATTGTAGGTTGAAGTTAAAGCATGTAGAATAAGAATTTGTATTTTGGAGCTAACTTTTGTAAAAATTTTACCCCGAGTGGTTTATGAGTTGCATAAAAAAGACATTGTGACATTGTCAGATTTTGTTGTTTATGGTTTATTGAGTAGTTTAAGCATTTGATCTATGTACATATTATATGTAGTATCAGCATAATCTGGATTGATAAACATTTTTTTTGCATTGAGTATTGATACATTTTTTGGCTACAATTTGTACACAAATGTAAAGGATATATATCTTCATTGTTGACAATATTGGATGGATATGTCTATATTTGAAAAGAGATTCGTTACATGTTGGTTATCATACTTTTTCTGCTATATAAAATGAGTACATCAATAAGGCCTGAGGGTTGTGTCTTCAAAGACAGATGCATGATCCATTTATTATTAAATGTGATGCATATACATGTCTATCTTAATTTTATCCTAAAATCTTTGTAACTATTTAATGTGACCTGTTTGCTGATTTTTTCATTCAGTTGTTGGTGTAGTTTCCACAAAACACATTGCATACATTTCTGAAAAGGTCAACATCAATCATCTCACACAATGTATAGAAAAAAGCCATTCTTTTAAATCTTTATATTAGTTTATGAGTACAATAATAAAGGGTGTTCAATGTGCCTTTCAACAAGGTAATCAGGTCATTTCTGTCAAAAAGGAAATATACCATTAAATTTCAAAACAACCTTTTACTTATAAGCCTACAGATATTAACTTATTTTTGGTTTTGCCTTTGCATAATGATGAATTACATCATCAGGTTTGTGTCTTGTTCTGGTAAACACAATTTTGGGGATCTAAAAACCAAATTGATGATTTCATGGACCCTTTTTATGGTAATTGCTCAGAACAGAGGTGTTTGGATTTTGTTTCAGTTGAAAGGATGACATATGATGGACTTTTTTTGTCTTTCTTGGTTGTCAGATATATATTCCCCTAGATTTTGCCCTGAATGTTGATACATGTACTTACATATATATATATATAATGTTGAGTTAAATATATCAAGTTGGCATTTTATTTGGATGAACACATTTATTTACTGTATTTGATCTTAAAGTTATTTTTCGACTAAACGTATATACATTTTTATATACAAACAATAAAATTACACATTATGATAATGATTATCTAAGACTTTTATAGTTTTTGATTGTCATCTAAGTACCTTCTCCCCCTTTTTAGATTCTAAAACAAAATTAAAAAGGACCCTCACTCTTGAAATCTTCATGAACATTTTACAAGGCCACACTAGTTTCATTTTCAGTTCTTTGAATTCTAAAAAAACAAAAGAACTGAATATAAGAACAATTTTACTCCTGAAAACATATCAAAATTGGAGCAAATGAGTTTAAAAACATTGTAGGATTCATATCTATACAAGGAAATTGAAGCAAGTTTGACTTCTTAAAAACATCATCTGAATTAGATTAATGGGAGTGAGCTAGATGACTAAAGGTCATTTCAAGGGTTTCTTCCCTGAAACAAGATATTGAATTGATTTTAGTGTGTTATTGTACAGTGATAAGTTTCTGAAAAAGTTTGCATATATATATATGTATTATTTTAGTGATAGAATTAGGTATTCATGTCTGACCATTTGTTACTAAAATTGAGAATGGAAATGGGGAATGTGTCAAAGAGACAACAACCCGACCATAGAACAGACAACAGCAGAAGGTCACCAACAGGTCTTCAATGCAGTGAGAAATTCCCGCACCCGGAGGCGTCCTTCAGCTGGCCCCTAAACAAATATATATACTAGTTCAGTGATAATGAACGCCATACTAAACTCCAAATTGAACACAAGAAACTAAAATTAAAAATAATACAACTACTAACTAATTTATAGTCGCAATACATTAAGCCTTTTTTTTTAACTGTTTATGGATTTTGTGTATATATGTAGCCTGTAGAAATAGGGACCACATAAGGAAAGTGATACATGTATACAATTCCAAATAGGCTAAAAGTAAACCTTTAGATTCTTAGTAGAAAAAGCTATTTTATTTTCTGAGATTTTTGCTGAAAATATTTAAATTTTGTTGCTGAAACAAAGAGTTTTAGGGCAAGGACATTTTAAGTCTGGTAATTAGATAAGTAATCATTAATAATCATGGCTCAGTAATAATATTAATCCTGTGAGAATTATTGACAGGTCCTTGATGCTGAACATATGAAGATAAGGGGACATATGGAATTCTTCACTTGTTTATATCCCTTAGCACCAGAGTGTTGGCAGATATCCCAGTAGGTTAGAATACAGCTGGTTATCAAGGTCACTGACCCTTGACCTTAGATTACCTTGACTGCCTCTGAATTAAATAGTTTTACTATGATGAGTAAAAATAAAAAATAAATCAGATTATCTTTGAATGAGCCTTTTAAACATCATGCAGGCAACATAAAAAAATATTAAATGTTAAAAAAAACAGTCATATGAAGAAATTAAATAGCTATAAAGGTATACATTGTCTTTCCCTCTGTACTTAACATTAAGTTCAGTTTTAAACTTGCATGCACTCATTGAATATCATTGGATTTTTTTAATGTTTGGTATGTAATAGTATAAAAAGTAAATTATTCAGTACGAAACATTACTTATGCTTCAGCTAACATGGATTGGTTTCAAGTGAAAAAGAAATGAGGTATAACTTTTTACATGATTAAAAACCTGACTTTTATAAGTTTTATAATAGAGCCAAAACCACCATCATGTTCTGGATTGTTTTATTGTAAGATAACTAAGGGAGATAGTTTATTTTCATTCACTGCAAATTTTGTGAATGACATTTCTAAGGTCAAAATAGGTGTAGTTCATTCATTGTTGTTGCACCATTTACACACACAATTATATTGTAAACTGCAATGTAGTTTGTAAGAGTTTGGTTAACTTTTGTCGTAATCACATATTTTATGGTTCATATATGAGATTTGCAATTTTTCAATACATTCCACTTGTGATCAGTGTTTAACTTATTTCATGTTATTATAAAAATTTAGAATTAAATTATCTTATTTAGAAAAAAAATAAATATTGTACGACTAACCATTATCAAAATGGACTTTGAATCATTTAGAACCCCAAGCAGATGGTACCCATAGTTTAAAGGGCTTGGTAGAGATTTGTAGTGAGAAAAACAGTATTGTTAACACACAATAAAACTAAGATTACAGGATCGACAAGTGGCTTGAAATTTCTCAGTGGACATTCAGTTGTTATTATAACAATTTGACTCATTACTTGACCACTAAAGGAATTATCATAAATCATTGAGTTAATTACCGTAGCCATGGACAGTTTAGTGGACTGTGATAATACCAGTATTTCTATAGGAGTCCTGTGCATTGTCAGGGTACACCTGGTCATAGTCATTGTAACAAAAATTTGAAGAATTTATAATCAATAATAAATGAATGGATAAACTATGGTGTCAATACAATTATCTATATTGACCAGAGTAGCTACTCAGGTTGTTAACCAACATATACCAGACCTTAAGCTTTCATTTGAAACCAAAATTACCCAATTATTTAACTTATTTGCAAACTTACAGCCATGTCTAGGAACTATTAAATCTTGAATGTTCTTTGCGACCAGGTCTCAAATAAGTGGTTCTGTACCTACTGTACTATTATTTATATAGATTCCTCACATTTAATTATAAAGCATGTGCATCTAACATGTAAACTTCTTCAAACATTTTAATAGATTTGAACTTGTACTTTTTCAGGTTTTCATTTAAGTGGTACAGTTACAGAGCCAGCCAATCCACTGTTCTCAGGAGAAACAGACAAACTATATAAAGTTTCTATCAGCTTTGATCGGTGAGTGTTCCTCAAGTGTTATAAGCGCCAGGATGTTTCATTATGATAGACTATAAACTTTTGATCAACTTGAGTCTTAATTATTTTTCACTGGAGATATGTGAAGGAGGATTATTTTTTACCCTTAGTAACTTAGGTTTGGCCTAGTGTGGCTTTTGAATTATTTTATCTAATTGAGTGCAATTGGTTTTGATTACTTACCAAGTAGTACCAGTTACAAATATTCAATATTAAGACATCAAGGGGGAAATCAACATTATTATCCACCATTTATAAATAAATTAGTATTGTGTGAAACTCAATAGTCATGACATCAAGATGGGGAAATCAACGTGACTATACACCTTTTATAAATAAATGTATTGTGTGTAAATCAATTACTTCAGACATGGTTTTTAGAATTCAGAATTCTGAAAGCATTGTTTTAATGTAACATATGTAATCACTTTGTCTGTGTTTTGTATTCAAACCCGATGATAAGCATAAATTTCCTGTATTAGAATAGTAAATGGTCATTATTTATTATAATTAAACCCATATCAGACAAATAAGAACTAAAACTTTGTATGTATGTCTGAGGTAAAACCAACCCATAAATCTTTACACATACTTTAATGTTGCAATAATTTATACTAAGGGGAATTCCTTGATGTTTAAAACTATCAAATTAAATAAAAAATATGAATTTGCATACATTATATGGTATTTTAACTGATAGTTCAGAAAGATGTTAAATGCTAAGGAACATAAATTATTCCACAAAAATGATTAAAATCATAACCTATGGCAACCTACTATTCTAACCACTTGTTTGTGTATCTTATATAAAGAGATCTTTATTTCCTTTATTAAATAATTCTACAAAACAGTCTGTACCCTGTGACAGTATGTATATAGTAGGTACAGTTGAGGTTGTTTTTTTTACTTGTGTTGCAAGAGGTATATTATGATGACATGAAAGCCATCTAGATAGAAAGTCATTGAGTTAACTTTGTTCAGTTGATGCAGATAGTATTTGCTACCTTTAATGGAAATTAAAGCACACATTTAAGTTAGGTCATACAATTTACATATGTAGCACAATAAAATTAAAATACGTTTGACCCATTAGAAAAGAATTCATGTCAGATCCAAGCCATGGTTTTTAATGACTTCAATATATGTAAACACTGACTGGTATCTCATTAATTTTTTAACATATATTCAGAATTGTAATGCAAGGTATTCTATGTACATTTATGCAAATGAATAAGTAAAATACATGCATTTGTAATAAAACTTTTCTATTTTGAGAACATTGTAAATTCTGAATGTCAAAATATGGAGTAGAACTAAAACAAATATTTGACTTCTTTTCTTTATCTTGTCGACAGTCTTTCCTGTTTTTTTAAGGCACCCCATGTGAACAAACTCATGAAGAAAATCAAATAACATCGATCAACTCAAAAGTCTGTATAATTTTGATTTTGTCAGTGACTAAGATGTTTATCTCCGGGCTGCGTAGGATTTTGATCAATGTCACAGAGGCACTTGTCATTTGAATTTTGTGTACACAATGATCGGGAACAAACACTGGTCTATACAGACCAGATTATATAAATCTTACATTTCCTATTGATCAGTCATTATACTGACTTCATGGCTGTCGGGGGAAATAATTGGATATCCAGTCCAAGTTGACAGACCTCAAGGAAAATAGATTCTGTGAATCTGTAATGAAGGTTTATTGGATTGATTGGTGGAAACCGTCTTTTATATCACTGCAGTCAACTGTAATTTACCAGCAAATGGGCCGGTCGATCTGGATGAACATTATATGTTTGAGATCTTTTCTAATACTTTACAGCTTACACTCACTGATGTATATAATGCAATATAATTCAATGCAGAAAATTTTTAGTATAAACAATAGCTGCCAATCATAATAACCATGATAACATTGTGTTATTTGTAAATAATGATTTCCTTTCTTTGTCAGGTATCTCTTTTATGTAAAATCACTGTATCATGCCAGCAGTGCTTAAACTGCATCAGTGTGTCGGCCTTTGAATAATTCATCCCTTCAGGTCTTCTCAAATATGGATTCTTTATTCTAATACTTGAATAATCTTTAAGCAAACTAATATCTTTTGAAAGCTTGATGAAATAATTCAAATGTCCTCACTTGAATTCAAACTATGAAAGTAAACATCTCCTAGGAGTGACTTTGTGTGTAATTACACATTCAAGTGTAGGACACAAACTTGTGTCTTGGTCTCATTCAGTGTTTGGTTTTGAGGCTTTAAACATGTGCATGATATGTATTTTTTTTACAATTGCTACCATTTGAACGAGCTTTGAATAAAATTTAGTCAGAATTAAGCCATTTCAGTTTGAAAGCAGATTTTACAATTTAAAGATGACAAAAAATATTTGAACCCCTCTAACGAAATTTGTAAGTTTAACGTTTGCATCCTACAGTGTAAAAATGCTAAGATAAAAAAATTGTGACTTAAGGTGTTACAACAGATAATGTACTACATTGTGTATTAACATTTCATTATAGGACCAATCATTGTTCCAGTATTTTACAACTTATAATTTTATTCTGTAGAATAAGTTTTAATATCAAATATGAATATAAGATTGAATATTGCCACTTTAAATGATATGTGGAATATTACTAAATAAGGGTACACTTGACCTTAAGCCCATCCGTTTTAGGCAGGTTATCTGATGTTTTAACATTAAGTTGATGTCCTGTAAAATTTGTTTTCATTTTGAAGTTTGTAATCAGGAAATCGAATGAAGTGCATATCTACGTAAATAATGATAGATAAAGATCATTGCCCTTTTGTACATTGCCATGTCCAACAATCCCATCGGTATAATATTGTAAGGTACAAAAAAGACATGAGCCTTCGACATGGGCTTAGAGGTTTTTCAAGATTTTAAACTAATATTTTATAAAAAATGTTTCTGATACAAAAGAATATGGTAGATGTGGTGTATATGTCAATGAGACCCTTGGCAATTTTTTGGACATTTTAATGCATTAAAATCATATAAATCGTGAGAAACATAGGATTTAACTCCAATCAAAGAGGGCATATACCCTCTATGCCCCGTCCCCACCACCCCTGGTTCTGGAGACAGCCACCCAATGACATAAATAGCAAAAAATCATCAGGATACTGTCTTCACCAACAGACAAATGTCTATACAAAATATCAAGCTTGAAATTGACCTGGGTCTCAAAAGTTTATATAACTGCCTTAATTTTTAAAACATTGTTACACAGTTAGGAATGCTGTTTCTTGTGAATATTAAGATCCATGAAATCTTTAGCCTTGACTTTAGGAGTGCAATGTAAATCTTTAGTCTTGGCTTTATGAGTACAATGTAAATCTTTAGTGGTGGCTTTATGAGTACAATGTAAATCTTATGTCTTGGCTTTATGGGTACAATGTATTATGTACAAATGTAGCTTTATTCTGAAAATTATCCTGGAAAATAACAGGAATTATCAAACTACAAAAAATCTGTTGCAGGTGTAAAATAACTTCAGTAAAATGTGGTTGTGGAAACAAAGACATATTTTGGTGCCAGCATGTTGTTGCCTTGTCTTTATACAGAATACGCCGTGCAGAGAGTGTAGAGCTTCGTGTGCCAATATCAGGTGAGCCTTAAAGCAGTGCAGAAGAAAATTGGGAAATGATTCTGAAGCAATTGCAAACAGAAATACCGAATGCTCACAAATTCAATGATAAGTTTTAACATTTCAAAACTTAAAAGAGTAAAAGTTATGAGAGTTTAAAAATATTAAAGTACAGATTTCATTACAAAAGAATTTAAATTTATCAAATTTGTGTGTATTTTCATTTCAGAAACATTGTTACAAATGAGCCGAGAACAACTCCAAAAGTTTGCACAGTATTTAATATCAGAACATCATACAGATGTGCTTCCAACTGCTCAAAATATTGCTGACAAAATTTTATGTGCTAAATCGGAAATCAATCTTCTTCCAGGTAAAGTAATCTTTATACTGTTTAAAATATTCAAAAACTTCATAATTAGTTAATTCAAGGTACAAAATGTAGTTTAAACAGATGTGAAAGAATCTGGATAGTTATGTTATTGTTGAAAGGTCATCAGTTCTGTCCTGGATTACCTTTAATTCTCTTTGGGTCTGCTAAAATTGCTTACATCTCCATCATTTGGTCTCTGGTGGGTAGTTCTCTCATTGGCAATCATACCATATCTCCTTATTTTATATTGATAATGCTACATGTTATGGTTTTTTGGGTTGGCTTTTGTTTCTAATTTAGAAAAACAGGGTATTTATAAAACTTTGTGATAAGGTTCACTTATAATTAGACTTTAAAGTAACATAAAACTTAAGTATAGGTGACCTTTGTAATGGAAGTCAAGTTTCACTGGGGAAAATGTCATAGACATACAACTTCTAAATTATTTATACTCATTTATGTTTTAAATTTATCCTTATTCTCCATATTAATTTCATCCCATAGATTAATTGATGCTGTCAAAATTTTAATAGTAAAACACCTCTCACAACCCACACAACTTAAAAGTTAAATTACCTTGGTTTTAGGGATATTTACTGTAAATAGTTTACAAAAGTACAGTTGGACTTTTTAACCAACAAGAATCTATTTCCTGAATTCATTTTGTTGGTTGTGATTTATTCATGGGAATACAATTATTTGTGAAATTTGATATAAATGTAGAGTCGACATAAACTTATGTATGGTTTTTAAATGAGAAAGCTACTATCTTGACTATAGATATGTATATATTTATATAGGGAAATTGTTGGGTGAAAGATATCCAATGAAGTACTTCGAAACTACCAGACTAGAATAACAGCTTTTATTGTTGTTCTTTATTTACATGGTTGGTGGAAAGTCGAAGCAATAAATTTTAGAATGTGTATATTTTTTGGCACAATAAGATGACCTCTAGTGTCAGGTACAAGTACTATTTGATTTTCATTTCTAAGAGCTACATGTCTTTGATATTCATTTATAACAGACACACATGTCTTTTGTTATTCAATTAAATTAATGGCAGCTACAAATGTCTTTGTTATTCAATTAATGGCAGCTACATATGTCTTTGTTATTCAATTAATAACAGCTTCATATGTCTTTGTTATTCAATTATAACAGCTACATATGTCTGTTATTGATTTATAACAGCTACATATGTCTTTGTTATTCACTTATGACAACTATATATGTCTGATATTCATTTATATCAGCTTAAATTGTCTTTGGTAGTCATTTTTATTAGTAGCTACATTTGTCTTTAATATTCCTATAGAATAGCTACATTTGTCTTTGAGATTCCTATTAAACAGCTACATATGTCTTTGAAGAAACATATGCAGAAGAAATCAATGAATTGGCAACAACTACAAACAATCAGAAATCAAAAAGGTTTAATGTTATGTACATAATTTTTGCAAAATGTTGGGCCAAAGAATACCCTAATCCATCAGTGATCATTTTCAATTTTCATGGATACTGTGAAAAAAGGTAGAGGGTAGAGTAGAGAATGAAATTAGGTATCCAATTAAATGCCGATGTAGCTTGACTTTTAAATATTAAAAGTCTCTTTGTGTTACCACTTAATTGATAATGCTTGTTAGTTGTATGCAGTCCATGGACATTGATATTCACATTGTATTGTTCATTTTATACCCTCCTCTAGATACATATTAGCCGGGAGCACAATGCGATGACGATGAGCTCTACTTGCCAACAGCTTTTTATTAATGTTAAGAACAATAAATTCTGCTGGCACCTTTGTCCTTTAAAACAGGATTTTTTCCATGTGTACAAATTTGGATTTTTAAAAGAATACTTAGTATGTCACCCGAAATAATCTTGAAGGTAGACGAAAAGATGCCTATCTTAAACTGTATCCTGCCATGTTTAATTTTGTTCTTGTAAAATACAAAGAAATCTATTATCTTTACCAACTAACATAAAGGACAAAGTAATTAAGAAATTGGAGAGGATGATAATTAGTTCATATTTTATTATGTAGAAAATGTGTTGTTAAGTCATTGTTGTGATGCATGTTCTCAGACTGATAATGGCTTGTCAAATTAGAGATGTAGAATAAAGTCAATGAGACAGCAAGCCATCACTATATAGTGGCAGATCCATGGGGTGGGCATAGAGGATGTACCCCTTTCATTGCATGATAAGAAATCTCCTGATTTATTTGATTTTTTATCATAGAATTATCCAAAAAATGTTTCGCCTAGCTCCACTTATCGGTATATCTTTAGTTTTCTTTAACCTCCCCCCCCCCAAACCCCTTTTTATAAAATCCTGATTCAACCCCTACAATTTATCCAAAAATAATCTTGATGTCAACATACAGTCTAAAAGTTATATTTGGTAGAACATTTTCATTGTTTGCTTGTATGATCAAATTTGGATTAAATATTCAGGTATTTTGCTATTTCATTGGACTCAATAATAGACTTTATTTTGTGGTTTTTGTTTTTCCTGATAAGGAAAGTATTTATTTTGTTGAATAGAGCATTTCTTTCAATTATAAAGACAGACATGAAACATTGAAAATATATGGAAATGTGAAATTCTGAATTTTCAATCTTCCTTGTCAAATTTAATCATTATGTCCTGGTTTCTATACAGACAATATAACTTTGAATGAGACTTATTTCTTTTCCATACAAGTACATAATTATATAAATTGTAACAGAAAGTAACAGTCATTTGTACTTTTCATGTATCAATCAGGTAGGATTTAGTACATGGATGTGGAAAATCCTCATTTTGTTCCCTTTTCAATTTAAATGTGGCATGTCCAAGAAGATTATTTTGGTGGTTTTGAGAGGGAAGTCCTGTCAATAAGATCCTATCAGTGTAATGCCTCAATAGACTTGTGTAAGAGGGGAGGAAAGACTTTATTATAAGTCTATATTAGTCATACACTTTTAATGTTAATTGAGCTTTTCATCAAGGGAAAGTTGAGATCTTTTGTGAAAACATCCTATTTTTAAAGATCCTTGAACATTTTTGTGGGTCAGCCTTATAATTAAACATCTTTATTGGAATGAGATAAGGGGATTTGTAAAGTAAATAGGATTTGGGATCTGGTCAGTTTTGTGCTGATAAAGGCAAGGCAATGCATTGTATACAATGAATAACTGGTATATCCTATATTTGCACATAAGAAAAGATTTCATGTTTGCAAATTCACAAAGAAAACAGAATTAAAAAATGCCAATATTTAGGTGGTAAGAATTTTAAACATTACCAGTAGTGTATAACAAAGTAATCTGAATTAGCTAGCATTGCCAAACACAAAACCTTAAAACACTATTCCCATGTTACTGAGTTCTTTGTTATGAAAAATCTATTTAAGATAATTTATTTAACTATAATTTTCTTTTATCCTATATTATAAAGCTATTGATTCAACTTGGCGATTTATAAGGTTACAACTGCTTAAGGATTTTAAGTCAATACATAAAAAGAAGAAAAATGAGCTTAGGGTTGATTTTGATCATATTGTACTTATTGACTAAAACTTGGAGGCCAATGTTTTCACTTTTATGCAGAAAGATTTGGTGATAGGGAGTTATTGAACACCGTAGTGAGTCAGTCTGGTTCTCGGCTGACCAAGCAGAATAAATGTTTCTAATTAAACATGTTTCCCATTGAATAAAATATAAAACATTATCACCCAATCGTTGGTAATGTGTGAATGGAGAGAAATGGTCTCTTTATCAATACGACAGCCTGTCTTTTCACAGTGAGTTCCACAGCATATCACATGACTATTCAGGTGGAAACACAGTAATTACAGTTACAACAGATCTGCAGTTAGAGAAGGAATGGCAAAGATGCACAAAAACATATTTGTCCTCAAATGACTGGGTTGAGTTACATGTCACTTATTGACATGAACTAAATAGTCAATATTCTGTCCTTATTATATATTTGTTCTATTGACAAAAGAAAGTGAAACTGTCATTAAATCTCTTTAGGACAGCTACATAATGACAATTTATTGTTATTTTCTGAAAATAAGGAAAGTAAATGCTTGAAAATGACACTAAGGCTATGTTCATCATACTTTCATTGTTTGAAAACATTGTTTTTTTCCTGTTTAAATCTTTCTTTCCCAGGCTGAGCTATTGATTTGGCCGTGTAATCTGACATTAGTTCTGCCCGTTGACAAGTATAATACAGAGACTTGGGCTGACATGCTAACACATCTTCCTATAAGATATGATTACAAGGCATTCTTGTAAAAATTATTGACAAAATTTGAGTTTTCATTGATCACAATGCAATCAATAGGAGCATGTATTTAAAGTTGTAATATAAAACAAAATTGATACATTGATTTATGAAAGATCTACAGGCACTGGGGTAATAACTCTGCCTATTGTACACATAATTACTGTCTGTCCTTTTGTTAAAAAACCAAATAACTTATTAGTGAAAGAAGCATCCACGTTCTGCATAATTCATCTAATTTTATGTCCTTTCTTCCATAAATTCCCAAAGTGACAATCTAATGAAAATTGGCAGCAGGGAGAGAATCTGAAGCTAGAACAAGGACACTGTGCAAATGATGCAATATTGAATTTCAGATAAATTGCTCTGATGGTAGTATTGTATTTCTCTTAAGTCAAATTTATACAGAGTATTGTTGTTTTAAAGGTGATTTAACAAAAAAATCCTTCGAACAGTTGATGTGAGAATAAAACATGGATTTCATTGATTTCTGTTGTCTGAAAAAAAATGCAAAAAACAATATTTAGAAATGATTTCTTCAGCAACTGTAAATTCTATAATTTGTCATTGAACAGCTTCAAAGCAGTTTGTATAGGTATATAATAATTATTCTAAGTAGGATTGGGTCAAGTCTTTTTCTTTGTCACTTCCTCTCAAAGAAGATTTTTAAAGTAGGTTAACTTTAAAACAGATGTGTTTTATACCCCAGATGTGACTTGAAATCTTTTGTATGGAGAACATTACACATGTGTGCTGCAGTGAAGTGTGCAGACCACACATTTAGGAAAAGAGATAATCACAAATTGATCACTGTCATTTGCAGTGGGGTGGTATGAAACTGATGGAAAGAAATTAAAACCTTTGATTTGTGATGTTGGGATAATGTTCCAAAGGTTAGAAATCTTTGCTATATAGAAAGGTTGTATAATCATTTAACAGCTTGTCTTCTTTACTAAATAAGTGTGGTAATTCTGGGATTTAGCAAAGCGCAATATACATGTACAAGAAATCGGTTGACTAGAAACATTCCTATCATTTTCTGTTGCATGTGACTTTAAATAGGAATACCTTGGAGCCAATATCTGAAAACTTATTCACCAATCTTAATAACTGTATAACAATAAAAGTTTAAATTTACACTAGGTGTGTGGATTGTATTATAAACCTATGTTTACAGTATCAAATATTTCCTTAAGATCACAAGCAATCATTTGATCAGTTTAATTGTAACAGGCATAGCTTTTGAATGAGTGGACTGGTCTTTTTTCACAAACCACCTGATATTTTGTTGTTCTCTTTGCTGTATTGAATATCGTATTTTTGGTTGTATACATTTAATAGCATTCAGTGTTGATCAATGTGAAGTACAGAGCATTATGTATGAAGGGGTTTGTTTGATAAAAATATCTTTTTCATCTTGACTGATTTTTACCTAGACAAGAGCTTAGACTTCACTTTGTAGACCAAAAAGCTGTTTACATTTAACAGCTGAGAAATGAACACACAAAGAAAATGCCCTAGATCTACACCAATTTAACTTTTCTATGGTTGTCTTTTATGGCTGGAGTGACATCCTATAAAATAAAACTATGAATATATAGCAACTTAACATTGATTTTATAGGAAATGAAGGATATAGTAAAGTGATTGAACAGAAATATATTTGGAATGTGTGTATAATTTGGGTTAATGATCTCCATACACACACATATATACAAAACCCTTAAGTCAAAAAACCACATGGCAATTATATTAACTTTAGAAATGATAGCAGTATTTTATCAAGATGAAGGCCTTTCAACTGTCACTATGTAGAAAATTAAGTGGATTTTATAGCAACCATTTAACAAGGAAAATGCTCTTCTTTGTAAACAAGATGTTCAAATATTGTTTAGCGACACATTTTAACATGCAAACATCTAATTTCAGTGCAGTACAACTTTGTTAATGCTTGAAGTAATTGTTTTCCTTTTAGAAGACAGTAAAGAAATTGATAAAAGATAGCATGTTATAATAGTTTTGTACTAAGTGTTTTTATGGTGAAAATTTGTGTAAAATCTGTGAAATCCACACTATCCAGATCAATAGTAATAACATTAAAAATTGTATCATTTGGAAACATCACAACATTGATTTATAATGATACGAAAATTATGTCTTGCTTTAGGTATTGTTTATTGAAGCCTCATTTTTCAAGGACTTGGAGGATATCAGGCTTCATTTGGTGAAAGGCCTTCTTATAATAATCTATATTATTTGTTAATTTTAGCAAATATTTGAATAATTAATCGCCTCATATGGTAATGTGGTGGAAATTATACCTTTTTGTCAATATACATGACTACATTTCTTATATGAGTGATTTGTATTTTAAAAATTACTTCAGTTCTGATTCAACTCCTAATATGAAAGATTTGTACAACTCCTAATATGAATGATTTGTAATTCAAATTTGACTGCATTTCAGATGATTTCTTATAAAACTCCTGATATTAATGATTTACTGCATTTCTTGTAAAACTCCTAATATTAGTGATTTGTATTTAAAAAATTGACTACAGCTTTTATAAAACCCCAAATAAAAAAGATGTGTGGTTAAAAATTGACTGCATTTCTTTTAAACATATATGAGTAATTTGTATATAAATTGACTGCTGTTCCTATAAAACTCCTCAGGTGAATGATTGGTATTTAGAATTTACTGTTCTTATAAAACACCTAATTTAAAGATTTGTAGTAAAAAATTAACTGCAGTTCTTATGAAACCCATTACATGATTAATTTGTAGTTAAAATTGACTGCAATTCTGAGTTTGAGATTTTTAGTAGTATTTTGAACAGATCATAATGGCTCAAGTAACCCCAAATAAGACTGTTGAAAAGACCTTTTTTTTTTGGGGGGGGAAGCATCTGTAATTGAAGGACAACAATATTTTAGGAAAAAAACACACATGATTAATGTGTTGATATAGAACATATGTATTGGTTATGTGGTTGTACTTTTGTTGATTAATTAAAATTTTGTTTCTTCATTCAGATGCTTTTGATCCTAATGGGGATATTTCAATGAAAAATTCTTTCTGTTTATTTTTAGGTGCTCCTGATCCTACCGCTGGTGCTTCCATTGATGATGATAATAGTTGGCATCTTGATGAAGAGCAGGTTCAAGAACAAGTCCGTTCTTATCTGTCACAAGGAGGTTACCTAAATGTCTCAAATCAACTCACCTTTATGTTTGCCAAGGTATACTTCTACATTTAATTTAGAAGTCTTATTGGTAGAAATTTTATTTTTGCCAAGGCGTACTGTAATTAAATTAGAACACTGTTGAAGCATTGAAAAGGGCAGTGAAAAGTGCAACAGTTCAAAAACATTGTTAAGTCCACAACAGATTATTATATAAGAAACAATAAAACAGATTTTATCTTGCATTACATAATTTCTTCCTTGAAATGACAAAGATGGACATGTCCGTGTGTTTTGAAACAGCATTAAATTCTTTTAATTTGCATTATTTGTCATTGTATTTTCCTTAAAAATTCACAAGATGAATTGTCAGCTTGCCCTGCTCAAGTTCAAAGGTCGTGCAATCCCAAGAAATCTGCAAAGAATAAGTATGAAATGTGCATTTTCTGGAATTACAGAATGAAACAAGAATCATTTCAAAATAAAATTTCTCTACTGAAATTAGGACTTTGACCTCTTAATGTTTAAGATTACTACTAGGGGGTGTTTAACAACCTTGACTACCCAAGAGGGTCTCGCATGGTCGGTTTATAATTACAAATACACTTTAGACTAAAATTAATTATGTTGTTGCATTCATTAGGTACGTGAAATGTTGAGAGCCAGAGATTCAAATGGTGCTAGAATGTTAACATTAATAACAGAACAGTTTTTGGCAGACCCAAGGCTTCAGATGTGGAAATCTCAAGGTCAACAAATGACAGACAAATGCAGACAACTGTGGGATGAATTAGGTAGGTTCTTATCATACAGATTTATATCCATCCATGGTTGATGTTGTTCCATATTAGTTACCTTTGAAAGCTATGTATTTTAGAGTAAAGAGTTATGATGGCTAAGTTATGTATATAGGTAAATGACTAAGTTATGTATATAGGTAGATGGCTAAGTTATGTATATAGGTAGATGGCTAAGTTATCTATATAGGTAGATGGCTAAGTTATCTATATAGGTAGATGGCTAAGTTATGTATATAGGTAGATGGCTAAGTAATGTATATAGGTAGATGGCTAAGTTATGTATATAGGTAGATGGCTAAGTAATGTATATTGGTAGATGGCTAAGTTATCTATATAGGTAGATGGCTAAGTTATGTATATAGGTAGATGGCTAAGTAATGTATATTGGTAGATGGCTAAGTTATGTATATAGGTAGATGGCTAAGTTATGTATATAGGTAGATGGCTAAGTAATGTATATTGGTAGATGGCTAAGTTATCTATATAGGTAGATGGCTAAGTTATGTATATAGGTAAATTACTAAGTTATATATATATAGGTAGATGGTTGACACTTACTGTATAGATTACTGCATTCTGTCATCTTATTGAGGTTGGTTTTGCCTTTTCCTGGTACACACCACATATGGAACCGAATCTTGTAATCTCCACATATGGAACCTAATCTGGTAATCTCCACATATGGAACCTAATCTGGTAATCTCCACATATGGAACCTAATCTGGTAATCTCCACATATAAAACCTAGTCCGGTATTCTCTACATATAAACGTAGTCTGGTATTCTTTACATATGAAACGTAGTCCGGTATTCTCTACATATAAAATCTTGTCTTATATTCTCAACATATAAAATGTGATCTAGTATTCTCCAAATAAAATATAATCACCAAGAACTGTAAAGAAAGCATAAAAAGTTACTCGACTCATATATTTTCTATTATAAAGAATAGATAAAGAAATAATACAAAACAGTATCATGAATAATTTTAGAATGACTGTGATGTCATTTGTATTACAGGTGCCTTGTGGGTGTGTGTTGTGCTTAACCCAAGTTGTATACCTTCTGATAAAGACTACTGGCAACAGTTACTGGAGCAGTGGTCAATATCATCTGTATGTCCTTTAGAGGACGCTGACATCAGACCTACTAACGATGTGCTCATGTCAAACATGGGTATTACTTCTACCTCAAGTAAGTACAATTGAGTATGTTTTTATATGACCGCAAAATGTTTGTGGCCGTATAATGGTATGACGTCTTATTATCGTCTTGTGTCCATAGGCATTTGGTTTCTAGACAATAACTTGAGTATAAGTCTCTGGATCTCTTTGAAATTTTACACAATGTTCCATACCTAAAAAGTGAAGTTTGGGATTGATTTTGGGGGTTATGGCCCAAAATATTTAGGATTGATGGGCCAAAAAACAAGGATAATTTGGTTTCCAGACAATAACTTGAGTATTAGTCTATGGATCTCTAGAGCATTTTATTACTGGTATGCTATTTTGTGAAGTTTGATAAGATAACTGTATATATATTTAGTTGCTATGAATTCTAGAGATTTGAATATTAATATGAAATAATCATATGGACATTGGTCAAAAGCAACATGTATATGAAGAAAAAGTAAAGAATTTTTTATTTTAAACCTTGTATGATACCACATGTGATTTACTTTGATTTTAATGGGGTTTACTGTATTTGAAAATGAACCTACATACATGTATGTTTCTTCTTCAGGACCTTTCTCAAACAGACCAAGAACAATATTCCAAAGAGCAATAGAAGCAAGTAAACTAAAATGGGATGACAAACACTTAAAGAGAATAATAAAAGCTGACACACTTACTAACAGTGGTTTATTGGATATGGATATGGTGGATTATCAGGGTCAGCCTATGTGGAATGGTTAGATTTTAATCTCACACTTTTATAATGCCCTGCCGCAGCAGAGGGGGCATTAAGTGTTACCCTTGTCCCTCTGTACATCTGTGCCTATGTCTGAAAATTGGATTCGTTCTCTTACTTTAATTTGCCTCAACCAAATGTTATGAAACTTATTCACAATGCTTATTACCACAAAACACAGATCTATTTCAAATTTTGGTTCCGTCACTTTTACCGTTCTTGAGTTATGTCCCTTAATAACATTATATGCAAAGCGGGGACATCATCTGTGTCCCAAGGACACATTCTCCATTTATCTAAGAACGAAGTATACACACATATATTTAGGCTGACATGAGCCAGCATTATCCTATCACAGAATAATTGGAAAATCAATTTTAGAGAAATTTTTTCAAGGTTTTAAAGAAATTTTACTTTGAAAATACTTCCTTGATTTTTCTTGATCTATTGTTTTGCATTTTAAATATTCTGATCTGGATACAAAGAAATAATTAGTTATTATATTTATTGAATCAGTTCATTTATTTGTTTGATAATAACATTTTGTGTGAATGAGTGTGAAGGGATCACTTCTGATATTTTGTTTCATTGTCTGTGTTGTCAATGTCACACTTTAGCCTTGAAAATGGATGGACAGAATTTACAAAACTTGCACAGATCCCTCTACAGACATGAACCTATTTTAATTTTTTGATTAGAGTGATATATGGGGTTTCTAAAATGAAAACATGGACTTTACTATGTGTGCTTATATTATTTGATTTGGTGGTCACTTTATCTTTGAAAATGGACGACAGGAATTAACAAAATTTGCACAGATCACTCTACAGATATGAACCTATTTTAATTTTTTGATGAGAGTGATATATGGGGTTTCTAAAACGAAAACATGGACTTTATATGTGTGCTTACATTATTTGATTTGGTGGTCACATGCATTTTGCAGATACATGTGTGTATTTAACCAAAAATGTGTTTTTTTTTTCATATTAGAAGGTATATCACGAATAGGATATCAATTTTATATATATTATTTATCGTTTATAGAACACTTTCCAACTGCATGTGCAAGAGTAGATGCATTACGTTCTCATGGTTACCAAAAAGAATCTCTGCGATTAGCTGTCAGTATTGTCAGAACATTAAAACAACAACAAAAAATTTATCAAGATATGTACAGACATCAAAATGAAGGTATGTGGAACCAGGAAGTAATATATGATGGAGGCAGACTCTCCACCGTTATGCATCATTTATTTTATGTCATTTGACTTCAGTATTTGTCTAATATATTTAATTGTTTCTATTCAGTTATCTCGTTGTCATTCTGTCGCACTCAAAAATTGCAAGTTCAAGCTTTTCTGTTTGAATTAAAATGGAAAACTTTAGTTTTGTGTATGTCATAATCTGTTAGAAACAAAATCTTGAAATATGTTTCCAAATAATTGATATATGACCATATGTTGTCACATGTCTTTTTTTAATTTGGTTAAATCATGTTCACTCATCATAACACCTGTTGCTTAAAAGATAATGAATTATTCTTAGTTTGGCATCTAATTTTCTGTAACACCTTTTCAAGGTGTAATAAATATACTGGTTTGAAATTATCAGATTGTCAGGTGCAAACTTTATCATAAACATCAACATAAAGATTCACAGTTAAATCAACAAGATATTAATTTTAAAAAAATCCTTCCCTTAAAAAAAATCTAGGGAAGGAACTAAAAAATACTTATCTTAATTTTAAGAGTGAAAATAAAATAAAATTATATAACTGGCTTGTGAATAAAAAAAAACTACATCTTATATTTATATTTACCTCACCTTTGTGCTTTGAAATAGATCTTATGTTATGGAGAGTTGATTTATATTACAGATCTACCCAGTACTAGTAAAGGTTGCAGATCCAAGTTGCCAGTTACAAACAACATTGAAGGATGGATTGGCCATGCTTTAGATCCATTAGGAGTATTATCTGAAACATTAACAGAAGTCTCTATTTCTCATGATACCTCTCATAGAACTGGTTAGTTTTAACAAAGTCCTTGTGTTTTTTATATACTACAATAGATAAATAACAGTAGATGGTTTCTCAAAAAGATCTGAGACAGCTTGACATTTTTTACCGATCTCTTTTTAACCTCGTGCTTTTGTAACTAGAGGCATACAAGCCAATAAAGGAGAATATGGGCAAGAAATTTGATCACAACACATGAAAATTATGACTGTAGTTTGATGTTGGTTCTGTAAACTGACATTTACTCATACATTTGACTAAATGGCCAGCCAAAATAAATTCCTCAATGGTGGATTTTTTTTCTTAATCATATGAAATATATTCAGTGTTATGCTATTTGAACAAATATTAATGAAAAAAAATTTGTCATGTAATTACGACTGTTTTGGAAACCCTGGTGTGTGGTAATAACAACAAGTCAAATCAGAAGTTTTACATTTAACATTTATTTACTATTACAATTTTAATGGTCATAAAAGCTAAATGGGCACTGTGCTTCATTGCTTTAAAAACACATACACAAATTTATCAACGAATAAAAATTAATATTTTGTTAATTTTTCAGATGTTGTAGTTTCTAGTCTTTTATTTAATGATGATGGGAATAGTTGCCTTCCTCCACGATATCATCATGTAGCTATACCAGGCAGTAATGATAGAATGGAGTCTTATCTTACCCTAGCTGTTGAAGCGGCCCTTATATGTAAGTCAAATGTGATAATATCTATCAATAAAGTGAAAGATTGGGTAAACTTAAGGTAGGATGGTCATACATAATACCTTCCATCTTTAAATTGTAAATCATTTTTAGTGATATTAGTAAATTGTATACATATATTTTTTTGTTTGTTATTTATACTAGTTTATTGTAAAACTTTTTTGTGAAAATTGAAACATCTTTAACAATTTAGAAAAATACAACACTTCAGGTTTAGGACAGCAACGACAAATGCCATCAGGGTTGTATACACAGGAAAAAACTCTTAAGCAAGAAGAAAAAGTGATTACTAAGTTACAGACTATAGAGAGGGATCCAATGATAGCTGGTGTATATCAACAGCAGGCAAGATTACTCTTAGAAGGTTAGTATAAGGAAATACCATTGTCCTTGTATAAGTGATAACGAATATTCAGTATTTTATCTTTGGTGTAAATAAATAGAAAGTCTGTGACGTAAGATTCAGTATTTATATTTATTGTGAATAAATAGTAAGCCTGTGACGTAAGATTCAGTAAATTAACTTTGGTGTAAATAAATAGAAAATCTGTGACGAAATTCAGTAATTTAACTTTGGTATAAATAATTAGAAAATTTATAATGTCATTGCATTGTTATTGTTGTTTAACCTTTTTGGGACAAAAATATTTATGACAGTTTCATGTTTTGTGTTAGTTGTTAATTACGAAAAACTGGTTATTACTAGTATAGACCAGCCAATGGTCAATACTGGTTAAAATGGGTTAATACAGGTTGTTTTTGAAAATTCTGAAGGTATAATTGTCCAGCAAATGTCTAGAGATATCAGTCCACTTATATCCTGCCTCACTAGTTTGTCCAAATATAGATTAGTTATATTATATGGCTTAGATAAAAAAAAAAAGATCCCATGTAGGTTTGTTACTTGCTATAAACTTTAACACTAATTTGTTTTAATATAAATTACAACATGGAGTAAAAACAATAACAAGAATTACAAAAACAATTGCCCATTAAATTATGTGTGAATAAACATGTCTCTCTTCGAGGCTAAAGTGAGAGTCAATGGTCAGAAAGATGACAGCACAGGTTTAAGGTGCTTACAAATGGTCCTATGTTATAATAATTTGGAGTTTTAATCTTTATATTACAACAGGGTTTTACAAAGATTTCTTTTTTTTAAGGTGGAAGTAGTTCAGCATTGGGTATTGGTATACATCCAGAGACATACCCTATGCATACCTTTGCTAAATTTATGTTCAGCTGTTTACTGCCTGTCGATGAAGATTTGGCATATCAGATAGGACTGAGAGCAATGAGGTAAAAATTGATTTAATCATGACTGTTTTACTATGAAATATTTTATTTTGAAATTTGGTATTGAAAAGCAAAAAGATAAATATTTGTCTCTAATATTTATCTGTCAGTTGTTTCTGTTCTGTGTATTTTACACAATAGAAATAAGAAGATGTGGTATGAGTGCCAATGAGACAACTCTCCATCCAAGTCACAATGTGTAAAAAGTAAACAAGGATTAATTCACTATTCCTTACCAAAGTATAGGTAGGTTTTGATGTGACGTAATTTGAGTTTGAGTTATTTCCCTTTGCTGCCATTTTGGAGGGATATATGGTTGATATGGTTGATATGCTTATTTGACAAACCAAATTAAAACATGCGGTACAAACTAATTTGATAAAAGATCCTTACCAGATCGTAGTGATGCATCAATGAAGGCTAAAAAAAAAATTTTTTGAAAACAACTTTTTCCAAAGTCTAGCAGTCAGTATAACAAGTTGAATTTGACTGATTTGTGAAGGAATTTGTGCTTCTAGACTTCCACCATGGCCAAAAAAGGGAAGTAATTCTTTCTCAAATTATGTCAATTGAAACCTATCTATACAAGGATTGGCTCACTCTTTCACATGTATTGAAATAGCATGTAAACGTTAATATTCTTTCATTGAATGGATGCCATTATTAAAGTTAATTTAAAAAAATTATTCTTCCGGTTATTTTTTAAGTCCTATTATGTAAACTATTATATTTTAATCATGGTTATTTGTAGGTTTATAAGGTACCATTGATGTAAAAGAAAATGTTCACCACAAAAATGTTATAACTGAATTAATAACTACATATACAGCAGTGAATGTTTTATGGGTGTTTTCAGAAATGCTTAGATTAAAACACATTACACACAAAAAGTGTTATTTTAACCACCCAATATTGATAGAAGGGCAACATATTCCATTTAAGGTAATGTTAGAATGCAAGAACAAATTGTTGAAAACTCTATTTTTTCATATCACCAATGAGCTTTTACATTGAAAAAGTTTAAAGAATGGCTTCTCTTCTCTTTAAGGCTTCCGGTGTTGGAAGATACAGATGAAACAGACGATGGCATGAATAACATTGCTTCTTCTACATCATTGACACGCTTTCCACGCTGGTTTATCTTAGCTCATGTTGAAGGTCAGCAATGTGACCTTGGATGTACATTGTTAGCTGCTGCTAAAGGTAAGTGTTTTTGAGATTAAATTTAAAAACTATATAGATATGGTGTTATATGACTATTAAATTAACTTGAATAGAAAAGAAGAAAAATTGAAATTTCTTTTTTTGTCTGTACGTCCATCTTTGCTCTCTCGTTTGTCAAGTTTAGAAGATAACTTGATATTACATAGAAAATTAGTGTTGATATTGCTAGCACTTCGAGGAGTCAAAGTTTCATATGTCAGTATTGGTAATAACTTAAAAGTCAACAAAAAATGTACCGTAGAAAGGCTTGTATAGTCCGCGGTTTTATTCTCCAAAATTGGACCTTCCAGACGGGGTGCGGACTATAGAGTACAATAAGCAAGATATAAGAGAAAAATTTCAATTTCGCGGGCGAGGTGGTTTGTTTACGTTCCGCCATCTTTGTTATTTATATTGTAGAGGGCGCTCTTATCATTTTTCAAACTAATAATTTTAACTCATCCATATTAATAAGTTATTTCTATTCAATATCAAATTAATACTGATAAATATAAAAAATAAACCTTTCATTACAAATTTCTCGTTACTTTTCAATGCATTGGTTGAAATAAACTGGTATCTGCTTGATTGAAACGATACAAATATAGTGAAAAAGACAACCGTAAACCAGCTTAGAATTTGTAAACTACAAAACGTAATCGGTTATTGTTCGTTCCGTTTTGGTGTTTCATACTGACTAATATGGTTTGTATTAGCTTAAGACCCTTCACACATTAATGTGATAGATATATTAAAGACTGTTTTACAAAAGGATGGAACTGTTTTACTTTCAAAGTCGTATTATAGTGATATCTGTTATGTACGGATTTCGACTCTCACCGGTTAGTTTCTTCTTTTACACGTGCTTTTTAAACTTCCTGTTTAAACATACACAAGTTTCTAAATTGTTTTTTAAGTGAATTAAACTTATTTTAACAATCATGAAGCGTTCTAGAATCATTTACAAGCAGTTTCAGCTTCTGTTTGATGATGGAAAACAGGTTTTTCCAAGAAAAAACCGCAAACGACCGCACAGGATTTGAAATTACCGGAGTTTCATTAGACCTTTTCTAACAGTTACAAAAAGTTTTTTTACCTAAAATTTCGTGGGGAGAAGGGGGTGCGGACTATGTACCAGTGCGAACTATACAAGCCTTTCTACGGTAATTATTTATATTTTGGGGTAAATATTAAACAAAAAATTCCAATACTCACAGGCTGGTTATCTCTATTACAACCATCTATCTTATGTTTTGTGATTACACACAACATAGTGGTGTGAGGTTAACATTGTTTAGATCTGATACATGCCAGTGTCAAGCAGTTTATTATTTTATATATTCAGATATCCAATTTACCAAATGGTATATCTGTGCGTTATCATTCTTGCCTAGAAAATTATTTATTGAAAATTACACAAGTCTCAGAAATAGTGCATGCTGTATGAATCTATCTGTTCCAACTTCCATTGGAGTTAAGCTGGCAACAATCAATTTACAATGCAATGCTTAATTTTAAGTTCTAATGCAAAATGACAAAAATTTGTATCCTGACAGTGTTCACAGGCACTTTGTTTGTACCATCTTTTGTGAAGGAAAATGAGTAGAACATTATATATTGCAGGTAATATAATGCGTCTGAAAACTGTACTAGAAGTTGCACAAAGACATATCCACAGTTCTTCACAGTTGTTCAAGCTAGCACAGGATGTGTTCAAAATAGCCACACCACCTGATTCACAGAAACACATGCCTCTTTTAAATGCTGCATTTGAACTTGGGCTTCAGGTAAGAATTATTAAGGGCAAAATTGATAAAATGTGTTACTGGTTTAAATGTTCTTCTTAACCTGTAAATAGTATATCAATATTTCATCAGTACACCAACTGTCATGCTACTAAAGGAAAAGGAGTATTGACAAAACATGTTAATTTGGTATTAAGTTCAGGAATAACTTTCCAAATGATCTCATTTCAATACTAAGGAAATTATTTTTAAGTTTTAACAAAAAAGAACGTTTTAACCGAACTGTTATACAGTTATTTATACAAGTATGAAGTATTTGAAAGACAGTTTGTGAATTTGTTTACCAGCTGAAATAGAAAAATAAAATTTCTTTATGTTGCTGTTATCAGCTTTTTCAACAATATCCAAGTTTTGAAAAAAAATACAGAAAAAACAAGAAATGACATTATAATGCTAATAAATGATAATTCATATGAACTTTGTAAAAGTACATATTATTAAATCATCATTTATACATTGAAGGTGATGAAAATGACATTAATGACAATGAACTGGAGACGACGAGAAATGGTACGATGGCTAGTAACATGTGCAACAGAGGTCGGAGTTCAGGCTCTTGTGTCCATTATGCAGAACTGGTTTTCGTTATTCCAGCCAATAGAGGCAACTGAAATGGTTGCTACGACAATCATGTCTCATTCTACTATGCTTCAACTTCATCTTAATTATCACCAACAAGAAGACCTGGCTAGTCATGCCAGAAATCTTGCTTTGCAATGTGCCAATAAGGACCCTCAAAATTGTGCTTTGTGTGCACTCACTTTGTGTGAGAAAAACCCAATATCATTTGAGACAGCTTATCAAATAGTGATTGATGCTGCCACTCATATCATGAACTCCAGTCAGTTATTCAGGATAGCTCGGTACATGGAGTTACGAGGCTATCCACACAGAGCATACAAACTGACTTTACTTGCCATGAAAAATCTTCACCTAGCTTATAATCAAGACACTCATCCTGCAATAAATGACATTCACTGGGCCTGTGCACTAAGTCATTCTCTTGGCAAAAATGAACTTGCCAGTATGATCCCTCTCTTAGTAGATAGTGTCCAGTGTGCAACAGTATTGTCTGACATTTTACGAAGGTGTACATTAACGGCGCCAGGTTTGGGAACATCGGACGTGAAAAGGAGGACAATGAAACTGTTGTCGTATGACAAAAATCCCTTAAGACAATTAATGGAGGCTACTATTCGGTCATACATCAACACTACACATTACAAATTGACTCATATTAGCCCGAGACATTATGGAGATTTCATTGACTTTCTTAGTAAAGCCAGAGAGACATTTTTGTTAGCTCAGGATGGGCACATTGAGTTTGCTCAGTTGATTGAAAACATGAAACTTGTTTACAAAGGGAAAAAGAAGTTAATGTACTTGATAAAAGAAAGATTTGGCTTATAATAATAAGTATACTGATGAGCGGGACCAAGACAGCGGAATTATACCTCGATTTTCTGTGATCCGGTGACCACGCCCTAGGCAATCACCTTAGTAATGTGCTTTATGTTAGCCTCATTTTCAAAATGTCTTTAAGTGCTAAGTTTTCATATAATGAATATTTTTATATTTATTTATTTATAAAGAAATGTGAATTACTGTCGTCTTGGTACATTTGTCATATTAGGCAGATTACAAATTTTTGTCTTGTTCTGCTTAACTTGTCAGGTCGTTAAAGATATGTTGTAATGTTTGCATATCTTAATGTTATACAAACAATGCATTGGGGGACTCATTTGAAAGGTTTCTTGGTGTTCCTATAATGAGGAATCCCAATGACTTATTTTGGCAGAAAGAAAAGCTGAGTTGCAATTTTTGCTGATCTATTATTGCAATTTTATACACATAATAATGTAAGACTAATGTATTTATTCTATTTATTATGAGGCTAGCATATTTCACTATAGTTAACAAAATAGATGATAAAAAAGATCTTATTTATTATATGTTTATAAGCCATTAGATGTTGCCAAAATATCTTTATAAAAGAGAAATATTTTTTAGAGATTGGCCATAATATTCAAAATATGTGTATTTGTGTCTGTATGTGTGTTTTGTGTTGTATATTTTTGTTACTGATTGTGGGAATTTCTAGAAGTTTTTTTTTATACTTCTGCATGTATCTGTTATGTTACTTGTTTGGGAATGATACTTTGTTAACTTTATTTCATTGCAGTGAGCAAAAAGGCATTATAAAAAAAATGGGATATAAGTAAGCAAGATCTTTGAAGGTTAATGCTAAATAAACTATAATTAGAAGATTTGTGGTATTTATATATATTTTTCTGGGTTCTGAAAATTAAAAAGTAAAGGGTTTAAAAAATCACATATAGTTTAGTTGATATGACTTAAGTATTATTGTTAAGAAATTCCCACATTATATAATTTGAGAAATGGTGCTAAGATATTTATATTGAGTTATCAGATAAGTTATGTTTGTTTTACTTGATTTTATGCATTTATTTCAGGAAAACAATTGTTGTCATGTCTCAGATTATTGTCTCCCTAGTTTCTACATTACCTCACACTTCATTCATCCAATCATTGTGTAGTTTAGGATTACCTCTTATTGTCAGCCAATCAACAGATAATTTAGAATATCCAATCACAATCATGTTCACATCTGAATTTGTACATTTTGTCAATACAGAATTTTACAGTATAGCCTCAATCATCAAAGATTCATACACATTTTCTCAATTGTGCAGAGATTTAAAAATTTATATAATAAGATGAAGCATAGTAAGGGCATTAATTAAACCATTTTAAAAGATAAAATATTAAGGAATAATAAACTGTATCCTACACTTTAGATCATTACAATGTATTTGTTTAACTACTGGTAAGATTCTAGACCTAGAAAATATCTTACCATTTAATATTAGTTCGTTGTTTTCAAAACATTTATTTCAAGAGTTATCTCCCCTCATTTTACCGAATTCAAAGTACAATGTGCAAGTAATTATGTTGTCCACACAGTATGTTGTTTTTTCAGTTTTGTTTGTAATTTTTGAATCTCATCCCATTGGTCCAACTTCCAATCATTTAAATACATTCTTGTTTGCAAATCATTGAGTTTGATACACCCCTTGTTTTTAACACAAAAATCAAATATAATTGTTTTGAGCTTTAAAGTAAATAGCAGACAATTAAAAAAGCTATGCATGTCATCATTTATCAAAGATTGAAAGTATAAGTTTGCAAGCAAATTAAAACAAATATTGACATATGACAGAATGTGAAGTAATGATTGAAATACATTACTTTGTCAAAGAGATTTGATCTGTATTAAAATAGTGTGCCTGGTACAAAACTTCAATCGACATGGCAGACAATTTGGAACTTTGTCAAGTGTATGAATTCCTTATTTTATTGCATTTTAGGCAAGGCATTGAAAAGTACAAAAATTGAAAAAAATGTGAAACAACTTACAATATTTTAATTTAATACACTTACTTTGTTTTATTTCTACACAATTATGTCAAAGTTAAAAAGGAACATTATATAAAAGGGTTCGATTTGTAGCATTTTGTTGTTCAGGAAAGATCATTCCATTCGTTCATTATATATGCAAAAATAAAGCAATAACATAATTGTGCAATAATTTACATATCATATAGCTGGAATTATTACTTAATGTAATCTGATTTATAGGCTTGTCACACGTCCTCTCACATCTGTATATTTTATGATTTCTGTGTTGTTTTATTTGGAAAGGATGTTCTTTATGGCATTAGTTGATATATTGAATCTCATTTATTTACACATTGATACCAACAATCAAAATTTGTATTCAAGATTTAAGATCAGCTCGATCATGATTTCTTTAAAAATTGATTTAAAAGTTAGGGTCTTGGATATTATTTTATATGGTTAAAATATTTTGTAGAATACTATTTTCCATTTTCAGTATCTAATCTTATATTGTGGCAAGTATATAAATTTGATATATATTAAGTTTTTTTTAAATTTTAGCGGTATATGCAATTTCATATTGGTACAAAGTAGTTAGTATGACTTTTAAATCAAACTTCTGGCTGTAAATAACTTTTGTAGTTATATTCAGCCTAGAAAAACAACATTTCCACAGCATTTCACAAGATAGCTTTAATGAAGCACAGGTAGACAAGAAAAAAATATTTCGTGATTTACCTTTTTTTTTCGTTTTGATTTTTTTTACTAAAAAAATATAAATAATCTAATTGCACCTTTTTGGATGACTTGCAGCTATTACTTGAAACTTGAATCCTATTATTTTCAAATTAGAAGAAATTTTCAATAGCTATTGAGAGTACCAGTTAAATATTAAGTAATCGTTTAATATCCTACAGTAGGCCTCAAGTTTGTTGTCTTCATGTGATTGGTTAGTGCTTTATTTATAGTTTAGACATCTAGTCTTTGATCATGTCCTGTACATTTTCAGTGGCAATCAGCCAATAAACAAATTGTCTATGGAAACATTTCTATTCAGTAAAAAATTTATAGAAATATTTGTTGTTTATTTATTTACGTACTGATCATTCAGATCTTACAAGGCAGTTAAAATCTGCTAGGGACTTCACATAGTCTACTGGACTACTAAAATATGTTTGTGGTGGTGATGATAAATACACGAAAATAGCCATTAATATGATCTAAATCTGCAGGTTATTACAGAACACAGGAGAACAAAACACAGAATGTTGTAAATCATTTTTGTAAATATCACTATTTACTTTGGTAAATTCTAATATAAGTAATAAAAGAGTGATTTTGAATAAAAAAATAAACAGACAATTTCCCAAAGTGCCTGTGAGATTTTGCCATTAGGTGTCATCTGTCATGACCATTTAACTATGAAAATTCATGAAATTCACATTTTTCCCCCAAGTCATCAAGATTACAATAGTATGGTAAAGTAATGGGCTTTTTCTGAAATGATTTTTGTCCTGCCTTGTTGAAAAAGGGAGAAGACTTCAATGTGCTGTTTATTGTAGGCGACTTCAACAATGTATTAGATTGTGATTAGGTCAGTTTATGGGGAACCACTAGTGGTAGGTCAATATTATTTGGTAAGCAACTGTATTAGCATTGATCCATCTTATTTCATTGAAGATAATTTGGCCCTGTTCCTCAGTCATGATCTATTGACTTTGAAACTTTTGATTAGTTAACAAGTTAAAGTTTGTGGTTAGGTCAGTTTATGGGGAACAAATAGTGGTAGGTCAATGATATTTAGTTTGCTTTTGTATTAATACTTGCAAGTCCCATTTCCACTCAGATTATATGGCCCCACCCCCTCATCATGGTTCATTGACTGAAACTTTTGCATAGGTTATATGTTAAAGGTTGTGTTTAGGGTAGTTTAAAGGGAACCATTTGTGATAAGTCTATGGCATTTGTATGCGGTTTTATAAGCAATGGCATTTCTCATTTCCACACAGTTTATTTGGCCTTGCTTATTCAGTAATGGTTCATTGACTTTGAAACATGCATTCTTAACATGTTAAAGTTTGTGTTTAGGTCAGTTCAAAGGGAACCACATTTGATGATTTGATTGTTTATGCCACTCTCATCACTATTGACAATATTGTGATGGTCAGTTTTTGGGAAAGACGGCTTCAAGCCGTCAATTCCCTATTTGGTTGGCCAGACTTCCAAGCCTCTCACGTCACTCATTTTGTTGTAGAGCCTGCGACTTTTGTTGCAGAAAGCTCGACATAGGGATAGTGATCCGGCGGCGGCGGCGGCGTTAGCTAACTTCTTAAAAGCTTTATATTTTAGAAGGTGGAAGATCTGGATGCTTCATACTTTGTATATGGATGCCTCATGTTACGAAGTTTCTGTCGGTCACGTCCAATGTCCTTGACCTCATTTTCATGGTTCAGTGACTACTTGAAAAAAAAGTTAAGATTTTTTGTAATGTTAAATATTCTCTCTTATTATAAGTAATAGGATAACTATATTTGGTATGTGCGTACCTTGCAAGGTCCTCATGCCCGTCAGACAGTTTTCACTTGACCTCGACCACATTTCATGGATCAGTGAACAAGGTTAAGTTTTGGTGGTCAAGTCCGTATCTCAGATACTATAAGCAATAGGTCTAGTATATTCAGTGTATGGAAGGACGGTAAGATGTACATGTCCAACTGGCAGGTGTCATCTGACCTTGACCTCATTTTCATGGTTCAGTGGTTATAGTTAGGTTTTTGTGTTTTGGTCTGTTTTTCTTATACTGTATGCAATAGGTCTACTATATTTGGTGTATGGAATGATTGTAAGGTGTACATGTCTAGCTGGCAGGTGTCATCTGACCTTGACCTCATTTTCATGGTTCAGTGGTCAAAGTTAAGTTTTTGAGTTTTGGTCTTTTTTTCTAATACTATATGCAATAGTTCAACTATATTTGGTGTATGGAAATATTTTATGATCTATATGTCAGTCACGCAGGTTTTATTTGACCTTGACCTCATTTTCACAGTTCATTGCTCAGTGTTAAGTTTTTGTGTTTTGGTCAGTTTGTTTTTCTTAAACTATAAGCAATAGGTCAACTATATTTGTTGTATGGAATAATTGTTAGCTGTACATGCCTGCCTAGCATGGTTCATCTGACCTTAACCTCATTTTCATGGTTCATTGGTCAATGTTTAGTTTACTTGGTTAATGTTAAGTTTATGTGACAGTTGTAATAAAGCTTTATATTTATCAACATAATATCAATGATTAGTAAAGAAGGCGAGACATTTCAGCGTGTGCACTCTTGTTTTTATAGTTGGGGAAACACCTCAAAATTACTGAATTGATGAGAAGGAGACACACAAATGAACAGATTGACTTTAAACACTTTTTTTACACAATTGCCTTCTGTTTCTCGTGAAATTATTGTATCTTGAGCTCTCCCTTACACAACTTACGTTTCTTTTACAATAAGGAAAATTCAGTATTACGAAATATTCTAAATATATCCAACCTAGTGATGTCATGGTTGGGATGCCACACTACATAGAAGCAGGGATATCCTTTACTCATTATTAAAATAATTCACAGAAATCGTGTATTATTTTAAAATCGGTATTTGTTTATTTAAACATAATAATTATTATTAATTATGTTTGCTGTAGATGATTCAAACATCAATGCTTTAAGGTTCATGTGGACCCTTTGGATAAAATGGCTGCATTTTCACCTCATTATTTACTCTGAGTACAGACAAACCTGTGTATCTGGAAAAATGTTAAGGCATAGCATGCCCTAGATAAATAAAATTCAAATATATTTTATGTTTTAGAAAATTAAAAACTTAACAGGATTTTGCAGTGCACTTTTTTTCATTCCTCCAGAAGGTGCCAAAATAAACTAAGTTGAAAGAGGTTTGAGAACTTCCCCACAGGTAATAATTGAAGTGAACTGTATTGATTGACATGGACAATAGATACCTGACAATAATTGGTGATTTAAACTGTGTACCTGAGTGGACCATATCAAGCGAAACTCAACTGTTTGTTAATTTTATCATCTTCTACAGGGACGAAAAAAAGTGCACTGCAAAATCCAGTTAAGTTTTAAATTTTCTAAAACATACAATGCATTTGAATTTTATTAATCTAGGGCATGCTATGCCTTAAAACTTTTCCAGATACACAGGTTTGTCTGTACTCAGAGTAAATTTTGAGGTGAAAACGCAGCCATTTTAACCAAAGGGTCCACATGAACCTTAATTTGTAGGTCAACTTTCGCGATAAACATTGGGGAAACATGGGATTGGTGGATAGAAACGGCAGTTTTCATTCTTTCTGTAACTGTTTTGAGAATCTTCCTCCAATACAGGAGCACCTCAATTGATGAGTAATTATCCACCTAAATAGAAGTTAATGTATCTGAACACTTAAAATGTGACATTTATTATATGATAAGTAGTCTTCCTTTGAAACAAAATTTGGTGTACCAACATAATCATTGTAATGGTATAAAAATTATAAAATTTTCAAATGTTGCTTTTTGTAGTTTAAACATATTTATTCATGAAATTTACAAATATATCAAAATGTAGGATCTGGAAACAAGCTGCACACAGCTTATATCAATCTGATTGATTTTTGTAAGTACATGTATCCCTGTGATCTCAGAGTTGTAACTTGGAACTTTATCAATGGAAATTTAAAACTGAATAGACTTTTCACTCCTCACTTTCTTGAGAAAAAAATTAAAATCTAAGAGCACTGTCATAAAAATAAAGAATAGCCCTAGCCTGCAGTTCAGTGTTATCAGGAACATATATATTGACTGTTCCCAGGTGGTATACAATAAAAAAAATATATTGTAGTAGTTATTAAATGATAGAATTCAATTGAATTTTAGATAATTAACTTTCAACTTGTATCAAATGTATTGATTTAGAAGGTTGGTCCAAATTGACTCCATGATGAATTCTTGGCTAAGGAAATTAAATTACATTACACAACAATTAATTTCAATATTGTCAACCTTTCTACATGTTCTAGCTGTTCTTTTGCTCATTCTTTGTATGAAGACTATCAAAAGATACCCCCCCCCCCCCCCCCCCCCCCAAAAAAAAATAGAAACAATGGCCGTCTTTTCCCTCAGAGCTCTTAAGCTCTTTGATTATTGATGGAGAAAGCTGGAGAGAACCATGACCTCCAGCATGAAAACTGACAGTCCTAGGCTGTTGTCTGCTCTATGGTCGGGTTGTTGTCTCTTTGACACATTCCCCATTTCCATTCTCAATTTTATTTAAGATTTGAATAGAAGGCACCTGCCAAGTGCCAGGTTCACAACCTTAGTGTTGACAGGCTAGTGACAGGCTAGTGATACGGTAGATCGCTAAGACCACTTGCCCTAAGAAGCCCCAAACCACTTATAAGTCAATGTTATTTGGTATACAGTTTTACAAGCATTGACATTTCTCATTTCCATGGAGGTTGTTTGGCTCTGCACCTTCAGTCATGGTGAATTGACTTTGAATGTTTGGATAGCTTACATGTTAAAGTATTGCCATTTTAATTTCAACATTTGCATTATACTATCAAAAGTACAAAAAGGCAAGACATATCTAGGTTGAAAAAACTAGAGGCTCTAAAGAGCCTGTGTCGCTCACCTTGGTCTATGTCCAGAATTCATGACAAAAATCTGTTTTGTTAGTCTTGTCTGTTTAGTTTCTCTCTATCTTCTTTAGTTTTTGCTCAAAACAAAAAAAAGAGGGTGAAAAAAATCGTCATTTTAAGGGCAATCACTCCTATAAAGAGTGACAGTCTACTAACTATAATGCCAAAATTTGACTTGTTTGTAGATCTTGCCTTGCTGATCATTTTTGTGATTTAAAGTGTCTATTTATCTATTATAATTTTTATCATATAAGGAATCGTCAGACGATTTCCTCCATATTATCTTAATTGTGGGTCTTGTTTTACTGATCATTTTTGCTTATTTAAGTTTCTATCTATTATAATTTTTAAGATACAAGACAAAAATGCAAAAATTGTCATCAAAGGGCAGTAACTCTAATAAGGAGTCAACTGACTATTTCGACCATTGGACTTATTTGTAGAACTTGTCTTGCTGATTATTTTTGAAATTAAAGTTTCTTTCTGTCTATTATAGTTTTCAAGATAATAGGCAAAATTGAAAAAAAATGGTAAAATTTGTCATTTAAGGGAAAAAACTCACATAAGAAGTTGTCTGACAGTTTGACGTATCTTGACAGTTGGTAGAGCTAAACATTCTGAACGTTTTTGCTGAAGTCAGAGTTTCCCTATTTATAACGGTTTTCAAAATAATAGACAAAACTTGCATTTTCGCCCTATGTTCTAATTTTTGCCATGTCGGCCATCTTGGTTGGCAGGCGGGAACATCAGACACATTTTTTCAACTAGATACCCCAATGATGTTTGTGGCCAAGTTTGGTTAAATTTGGTCAAGTAGTTTCAGAGAAGATATTTGTAAAAGTTAACAAACGATGACGACGAACGCCAAGTGATGAGATAAGCTCAAAGGGCCAGCGGCCAGGTGAGCTAAAAAAAGAAGACATATCTGTGTCAACAGTTTACCACTGTATATTTTATGTACTTTGGCTATATTGTAATCACCATGTCCATTCATTCCTTAGTCCAACAAATATTTTGTCACACTTTTCTCAGAAACAACTTAACAGAATGACTTTGGTTAGCATATTTCTGATCTTTCAGATACCTACAACATGTCTACTGATACTTTAATTTTTATTATGTTGAATGAAATTAAAAATTTTCACCACCCATTTCTCCAATACTACTGAACAGGAAGACTTCATATTTGGTCAGCAGCTCAACAGTGATGAGTTATAACATGTGTGTGTTTTTTTTTATCTGTCAAAACACCTGCTTCCTGATATTTTTAATTACAAGTGGGAAAAATTCTTAGCACAACAATGTGTGCATTCTTATTGTTATTCCACTGAGATTGAGTTTTAAAAGTGGATGGTTGAGTACCAAAAAAACTAGTTTAAACCTGCTGCTTGTTAATCTGCCTGCACTAAGCTGGATCTTAGTGAGTGATTGTTTTTTTACCATATTTTTAAGTTGTCATTAGGACATTATTCAAAACTTTTCTAGAAAAAAAAATATGTTGGCCATATTGAAATCGACCACTTTTTAAGTGAGTTATGACATTGACCATTTGTTGGAGTATTGTAACAATAACACTTTGTGAACACAAATCCTCTGAGACCTTTAGACAGATATTTCTCATACTCGGCAGGATTGTTTCCCATCATGTGTTGTTGACCATATTATACCATGATTTTGATTGTAACATTTATAACTTGAAGTTATGGGACTGACCATCTTTTGTCCCACACTTGTGTCAGTCAGGGATATGGTTATGGTCTCTGTCCATCCGAAACACATCAATTCCACGAGACCACTTTGCAGTGGGATTAGTTGTCTAAAAAGACAGGAAATTTGGACTGCAACTGGAAATGAGGATATGTTCGATAGGGGCAGAAATTTTGCATTGCAACAGGCTACCTATGGATCCCTAACAGAGTGTATTGAAGATGAAGTAACAAATGTTGACATACCACTAAATTTATTTAATCAACGTGTGGTTTGTTTGATCTCAGTTCATCATTGGTCAATATTCGATTGTGATGTCAAATTTTCTTGCTCTCCTCTAAAATTACCATTGTGACGTCATGAAAAAGGGCGACCATGGCTGATGATGTCACATAGAAAGAGCACATCTTTTTTGCAGATTATTCGAAAAAAGAAGGATCAAATTTGTCTGTTTATCGTCTAAAAATCATTAGAGAAACAGATTCCACCACCAAATCATGTGCAATACATGTTTATCCACTCTCGACAGTTAAATTGAAAAATTTTAAAACGCAAAAAAGATGTACTCTTTCTATGTGACATCATCAGGCATGGTCGCCTTTTTTCATTTCTTTCGCAATAATACAATAAAATGCTCCGCTGGGGCGCAGCTTGATACGACCGCAGAGGTCGAACCCTGAACATTTGGGGCAAGTATGGACACAACATTCAAGCTTGATACAGCACTGAAATTGGATTGTAATTAAATATTTGACACAGCATAGGTTTCTGACACAGAATGAATGTGGTCTAAGAACTTAAAAATTTTTAATTTACCTATTCAAACCATATCATTATTATTTTCTTTTATATATAAATCAGAAATAACCAATTTAAAATGGAAAATTTTAAAGAAAAAAAAGGAAAAAAAAAATCCCCCCTCCCAAATTTTTTGAACCCCCTTATGATTCATCACCCCCAAACTCAATCCCAGCCTTCCCTTTGTGGTATGGTACCTTGCAGTACAATTTCAGAGAGATCCATACACTTGACCACAAGTTATTGTCTGAAAACTAGAAAAAAAGCTTGTTTTTTGGCCCCTTTTTGGCCCCAAATTCCTAAACGTTTAGGGCAATTACCCTCAAACTCAAACCCAGCTTTCCCTTTGTGATATGGAACCTTGTAGTACAATTTCATAAAGATCCATACACTTACACACAAGTTATTGTCCTGAAACTAGAAAAATGCGTTTTTTTGCCCCTTTATGGCCCCTAATTCCTAAAATTTTGAGGCAATTACCCCCAAAATCAATCCCAGCCTTCCCTTTGTGGTATGGTACCTTGCAGTACAATTTCAGAGAGATCCATACACTTGAACACAAGTTATTGTCTGGAAACTAGAAACATGCTTATTTTTGGCCCCTTATTCCTAAACGTTTTGGGCAATTACCCCCAATCTCAATTCCAGCTTTCCCTTTGTGATATGGAACCTTGTAGTACAATTTCAAAAAGATCCATACACTTACACACAAGTTATTGTCATGAAACTAGAAAACTGCTTGTTTTTTGCCCCTTTTTGGCCCCTAATTCCTAAAATTTGTAGGCAATTACCCCCAAAATCAATCCCAGCATTCCCTTTCTGATATGGAACCTTGTGGTACAATGTCAGAGAGATCCATACACTAACATACAAGTTATGTCTGGAAGTTACAAAAATGCTTATTTTTGGCCCCTTTTTGGCCCCTTATTCCTTAACAGTTGGTACCATAACCCCCAAAATCAATCCCCACCTTCCTTTTGTGGTATTGAACCTTATGGTAAAATTTCATAAAGTTCCATTCACTTAAACTAAAGTTAGAGTGTGAAAACCAATGTGTCTTCGGACATCGACGATGCCGGACGACAACGACGACGCCAACGTCATACCAATATACGACTGCAAAAAAATTTTTTTTGCGGTCGTATAAAATGACATGGCAAATATAAATGCTGACACTACTATCACTCATTGTTACTTGAGTGACTTTATTGCATGTAACATATCAATGAATATTTTTACAATCTTATTAACCTTAGATATACATGAAAGACATATATTATCTCAGGGCTATTCCAGAAAATAGTATATAGGGGGTTGGAAGGCACTTTAATGATTTTTGTATGGGTGGGGGCAGGTCACAAAGTTCAAATTGTGTTGTTATGTATGCAAAGTAAAATGCAATTAGAAGAGTGATGGCCATAAAAAAGTGCCTTGCAATCCCCAACTCCCTGTATTGTGATTTCTGGAACAGCCCAGTAAATAACAGTACAATGAGCTTCAGATTTCTGATTTTAGGGATTAAAATCACAGTATATTTTCATTTGAAGTGAAAAAAACATCAAACAGGTGTACATGTATTTCAATGTAAATTAATCTAATACTGTGGATTCATATATTTTTGTTGATGCCAATTTCCTTGGGTCAAGTAAAACATGTATTTTCTTGGTTACTTTAGTTTGTGGTTTTGACAAATTCTGTAAACATGTTTTAGGAATTTTTTAAAGAATTTTTTGAGAGCTCAAACATTCCTAAAAGTTTGCTAAGATTTTATTTCACAATCCATCTGTCATTTTCACAATGATTTTGTCATATAAGGTCCTTCCAGTTCATATCCAATTTTCCTGTAATAATTCCTGGTCCCAACACCTGTAATAACAAATATCAAATCAAAATCAAACATTATATAAATAACACATAGCTGAGAGGGTGATAGAGCAGATTGTTACCCCGATAAACATTGTCAACTGAGGCGAAGCCAAGGTTGACAATGTCTTTTCGAGGGGTAACAATCTGCTCTATCACCCTCTCAGATATGTGTTATTTAATTTATTATACTGAATGTTCTGTTATTACTGTCTATTACCGGTAAATTTCAAATTCAAAGAAATAAACTAATCATCCATATTTATTAAAGCGCACACTAGATCAAGCATCTCCGTGAAGGGTAATAGAGTGTTTGCCATGGGATAGAGTAAATTGTCTCCTTCCTATCAACCAATCAAAATCTGGCATTTTGACATGAAGTATAATAAATCAAAATATCTATATCTTTATATACATAATGTCAAAGAGTTAAACTCCAAAAATCTCCATGCGAACCTTTTCATGAAATATTTCTCATACATTTAAAAGTTTTCACGTAACAGTTTCACAAAGAGAAGAAATTTGAATATCAATTAAAAATAAAAGCTAAAGCATCAAAAGAAAATTGCCTTTATGCTTGTAGCCAAAAATACTTCAATACATCATTCTGGCAAAGCTCGTTGATGACTGACCACATCATTTCAGATAGGATGTACATGAAATCATCAATTCTACAAGAAGATAATTATTAATTCAATATACCATCAAGAAGACAGCTACAGAAATATGACATAAAAAGAGGAGATATCTTATATAAGTTCATTGAAGGCTCACTGTTTAACATACCAGATATGACAACTATTTTACTGGAGCCATGTTCTTCTTTTGCTATTCTTTCTGCTTCATCCATTAACAACATGCCAAATCCCTGAAACAAATTCATTGTGTTTTACTTTTATTCTTTTTAAGTTTAAAACTAAAATAAAAACACACCTGAAGATGCTTTATTGACGATGTCATATTTCCACTTAATCTATTAACAAAGAAAGGAGTCACTGCTTATTTTGTTGCTAATTAAATATAGTATTTAGTAGAGGGATGGAGAATGATAATCAATAAATGTCAATGGTCTGTCATAAACACTTGTGAATAAGCACACCTGATCAGAAAAAAAATTACATTTCCAAATACACTAAGGCATGACAAAGGAGTTGAAACTAAATTTCAGCTTGCAATTGTAATAAATGGTTTGTGGTGGTAATTGGAAAAAAAATACTGAATATCAATGTTCTACCATATAAGTATCATCTTAATATGAAAAATTATCAGAAAACATGAAAAAAGCCAGTCACTAAAGCATGACTGAGGAGAGACAGGGCTATATATTTCACAGGCAAATGAGGTGTATTGCTGCTAATACTTCATCATATCAAAAAGGAAGTGTCAATCTTCTGTTTCTATTATAGACTATAAACAGACATTTTTTTAAAGTAAAAATTTTGACAACGCTAAATGATTGAAGGTCTTGTAATCTACTTGTGAGATGTATGAATCTTACAGCCAGAGCATTTAAAAGCAGTATTTCTTCTACAAAACTGACCATATTTTAATTGCTAATTATGATGTAACTGATCACATCTTTTTCCTTTGATCTTTATAGATAACTGTTTCAATCGCAATCATAACACATCTTAATTCTATACAGACAAAATGCTGAAGCTCTCTTATTTCATTATTTATTGCAAACAAGATAAAACATGAAAAAGAGAATATTTTTAGATGCTTAATTACAATACATTAGAAGAAACAAAGTCACAGAAGCTCTTCCAAAAGGACTGTGTATTAAATGTATATATACCTGATGTTGAAACTTGGTTGGATCTCTAGCATGTACAGGAACCACACTACCATACACATGAAGCTCTCGTACAATAGAACAGCCTGATTTTAACTCAGGCCGAAAGGTATCTGGAGAACACTTCCTTAATCGTAATAGTCCAATCAAAATGTCTTGTTCTGGATCTTCATAAGATAAAAATGTTTCCCAACCATTATTGGCCACATAATCTCTCCTGATTAATTCTGCCTAAAATATAATTTTTTAATCTTTTCATTTTATACATGTATTTATCAATTCTCTTCTGATTAGTTCTGCCTACTATATAATGATTAAATCTTTATATTTTGATTCTGCATAAAATATATTAATTGAATTTCTTCTGATTAATGATGTTGATGCCAACTATGCATAACTTTTTTACATAATCATGTAACTGACATGTGTAAAATGAGATGGGACCAAGAAAACAAATTATCTGGGAACTTCTGTATTCCATTTCTTTACTGAATAAAATTTGCCCCATAACAAGAATTCCAGTCCAAAACTATCCAAAACTTTTTGTAAAGACTCCAGATTTTCTAGAAAATTTGTACAAAAATTGAACAGAGACTATCAATGATAATAATGATCGATTAACTATAACAGCTGAGTTGCATTATTGCATCATACCTCAAAAGGTCTGACTTTATGATGTATTTCTTGTATACCAACTTCTCTTGTTCTGACATCACGACATTGAGTTCCAAGATCTTTCATCCTAGCTAAGGCTAATTCTCTCAAATTGCCATGTTCCACGCCAGAACTAACTAATGGCATTGGTATATCTCTAAAAAATACAGACAAAAACACTGATTAAACACAATGGCACACAATTATCATGAAGAAACAGATATTAAAACAATTTTGTAGAAGCTGGCAAGAAATCCTTAAATCATTTTTCACATCCCCTTTTTCTAATGTGCATGTCAAAACACCAATTTTCTTTTTTTAAGATAACATGCCTTAAGGTCAACTTCCAAAAAGGGGCATTTCTAGAGTTTTTCCTTTTAGTGTTGCAAATTTCACACTCTTTGAGTTAATCATAGGATTGTCATCTTCTGTTATAAAACATGTTAAGAAAAAGAATTAAAAAATCAACCAAAAATATAGTCCATTAGTTGCATTTTCAAAAAGCTGTACAAGGAACATGTTCATTTTGCGACTTATTTGGCCTTGTAAATTTAACAAAGATAAAAATTGTTGCAGTAGTTTTTCAATTAGATGAATACAGGCAAAAAGTTATACTTTGGATTCAATTATTTTCATGGGTACCAACTTTTCGTGGATTGAAAAAAAATATATTTCATGGATTTGCCAAAGTCTGCATTTGAGCCTTTATAAAATTCATACTTCATTCAGTTTGTTGAACATTTAAATTCATAGGTCACCTATACCTACACATTCCCTGAAAATTTGTATCCCACAAATAAGAATGAATCTACAGTAATTTCTTGATGACACAGTTTTACAGAGACACTGTTAAAGAAGTCAAAAAGAAGAATTGTCTAATTTAAGCACAAACAAAAGCTTATTTCAGTGACATTCTAACAAAGTTAATATAATGTACAAAGTATGTTTTCATCAAACAGTTAATGTTTTGTCTAATTTTGTCATTTCACTGTGGAGGAATCAATTATTAAATTGAAGATCAAAGGTCAATATTTTTTAGAACTCAGCATCTAAATGAGTGCAAATTAATTAATTATCAATTATCAAAAACAAAATAAATCTTTGTCTTGAAGAAATTTTTATTTTTAGTACCAATTTCACCCTTGATTGTACTTTCTCCTTAATTGAATGTTTTTCTGCCTAAACTTTAGTATCATTTCTACTTTATTGATTTGACAAGGCAAATATTGTTTTTGAACAATGTTCTTTCAATAACTTAACCTTTGAACTCTATAAACTCTAGTCCAAGGAGGAACAAGAGCTAATATCCTAGCCACCAGATCTACCAGTGTGCTGGGTGGATAACTTTTATATCTTCCTGTCTTCCAAAGCTCATACAACCCTGAAATAAAAAATATTTCAATAAGAATCACATTGTTTGGAATATTCCATAAAATCCATTTAATGAGCCTGCCTTAGGCATACATGTTTCTTCAAAACTAAAACTTTACAACGATGAATTGTAAAACACATGTGATTCCAAGGCAACAACCATAACACTTTCAATCGATTCAACAGTAATTTTTAATTCTGTGTAGATTTTATATAGAACTTGAGAGAAAATGAAATATTTTTTTGAATTTTCATAGGATTGTAAAGATACTGATGAAAAGCACATACTATATATTAAGAGTCTTGTCTTCATCTTTTTACATACCAAATACAATGCAACAATGCAATTAATTCTTAACAAAATGTATGAAAAAAGATATCATAATATTCAATTCCAAGGTATTTTTTCTCCAAAAAGTTACCATAAATCTGATATCAAATATGAAGGAAAAAACCAGCATGATTTTACTTCCATTCGGAATGAAAACATCAACAAAAGTCGGCAAACCAACTGCATACAGAGAGATGTGCAATTGGCCAGAAACAGATTCTAATGAAAAAGAGTATCTATGAGAAGCTCAATGCTGATATTTTCAATGGTGTTAAATCTGAACTCTCACCATCGTTGCCATAAAGAGACTGCATTTTAACTGGAAATGTAGTAAACAAAAGATACCATTAAGATTTGTGAGTAAATTTTCAAGTGTCAAACCAAACAATGCAGTTATTTGTTTTATCTTAATATGGGGAATAAGAATAACAATATGGCTAAAATTACAACCAGCACAGACAATAAAGTCCCAAACTCCAATATTTTCATAAATTAAGTGGTCCTAAATAATGTAAAATCGTGTTATATTTGTACTGTTTTCTCAAGTTTTTGTCACTATCTCTGCAATACCTTCTATGCCAGTATAAAACAAATGACATTAGACAAATTTTGAACGAACCATTGGATGCTTAATTCTTGTATTAGAGATATATATAATTCTTGTATTAGAGATATATATAATTCTTGTATTAGAGATATATATAATTCTTGTATTAGAGATATATATAATTCTTGTATTAGAGATATATATAATTCTTGTATTAGAGATATATATAATTCTTGTATTAGAGATATATATAATTCCTGTATTAGAGATATATATAATTCCTGTATTAGAGATATATATAATTCCTGTATTAGAGATATATATAATTCTTGTATTAGAGATATATATAATTCTTGTATTAGAGATATATATAATTCCTGTATTAGAGATATATATAATTCCTGTATTAGAGATATATATAATTCTTGTATTAGAGATATATATAATTCCTGTATTACAGATATATATAATTCTTGTATTACAGATATATATAATTCCTGTATTAGAGATATATATAATTCCTGTATTACAGATATATATAATTCCTGTATTAGAGATATATATAATTCTTGTATTAGAGATATATATAATTCCTGTATTAGAGATATATATAATTCTTGTATTACAGATATATATAATTCCTGTATTACAGATATATATAATTCTTGTATTACAGATATATATAATTCTTGTATTACAGATATATATAATTCTTGTATTACAGATTACAGATATATATAATTCCTGTATTACAGATATATATAATTCTTGTATTAGAGATATATATAATTCTTGTATTAGAGATATATATAATTCTTGTATTAGAGATATATATAATTCTTGTATTACAGATATATATAATTCTTGTATTAGAGATATATATAATTCTTGTATTAGAGATATATATAATTCTTGTATTAGAGATATATATAATTCCTGTATTAGAGATATATATAATTCCTGTATTAGAGATATATATAATTCCTGTATTAGAGATATATATAATTCTTGTATTAGAGATATATATAATTCTTGTATTAGAGATATATATAATTCTTGTATTAGAGATATATATAATTCTTGTATTAGAGATATATATAATTCTTGTATTAGAGATAGATATAATTCTTGTATTAGAGATAGATATAATTCTTGTATTAGAGATAGATATAATTCTTGTATTAGAGATATATATGAAGTATTTCCATACCTGTTCCTCTTATGACTAGTGTAGGATAAATCTTCAAACCATCAGCTCTAAATGCAGGATTCTCAAAAAATTCCTAAAAATGACATAACATTCATATTTTGGTATTCTTCCAACACTTTTTATGCCAATTTTCTACTTCCTAACTAATAATGGTTTTAATAAGATTGTCTCCCCTTTTTAGTTTAAAGTCAACATTTTTTTAAAACAACTTAAAAAATGTTGACTTTAAACTAAAAAGGGGAGACAATCTTATTAAAACAAGTCTATGAAAAAATTTATGAAGTCTGAAAAACAATACATTTTCATATTAATTTTTAAAAGGCAACTATGGAAAGTCTTTAAAAACTTCTCTCTTTTATGGATCTTGTATTTTTAGAAGTTTTTGAAGGAATACTAATATTGCTAAAATATTCTTAAAATTAGTGAAAGCAATTTTTTGCTATGTATCTACAGAGTAGGCACTGACAAAATAGTTTTACAATCAAAACAACCTATTGATCTGCTCCTTTGCTTATTTGTATGAAGTTATAAACATATTTCATTTTAAAATAAAATGTTCCGTGGGGCGCAGCTTGATATAACTGCAGAGGTCGAACCCTGAACAGTTGGAGCAAGTATTGATATTCAAACTTGATACAGCTCTGAATTTGGATTGTGATAAAATATTTGACACAGCAAAAGTTTTTGTCACAGAATGAATATGGTCAAAGAACTGAAAAATTTGAAATTGGACTTTTACCCATTATGGTCTAATATCCAAAATCTAAATACATGGTTAGATTCAGCATATCAAAGTACACCAAGAATTTTATCTATTTATTTATTAATGTACAATATTAGCTAATTTTTTAAAATGCTCCATAAAGGAATTTAGTTTAAGCTGTAATTGGTAGGAAACCTTTTATTAAATTAATTAATAATATTTTGGTGTTTGAATATTGTTACAAGTGGGGTACAGTTGGATGTGTATGGTAGTTGAGGTTCATTAGTCATCAGGTAATGATTAAGCATATTAAAGAACCCCAATATTTCAAGATTATTTAAACCCCAATGAAATTGTTCAGAAATAAGCAATTCAAACAAAGTTTAAAAAAATTACCATCATCCCCAAGGTCTATCCAACCTTCCTTTTTGGTATGGAACCTTGTGGTACAATTTCATACAAATGCATACACTTAAACTCAAGTTATTGTCTGGAAACCAGAAAAATGTTTGTTTTTGAACCTTTTTGGCCCAAAATTCTTAAAAGGTGAGAACCATAACACCCAAAATCAGTCCCAACCTTCCTTTTGTGGTATGGAAACTTGTGGTATGATTTCATAGAGATCCATACACTTATACAACTCAAGTTATTGTCTGGAAACCAAATGTCTTCAGACAACGACAATGACATCACCATACCATTATACGGCCACAAATTTTTGAGGTCATATAAAAGGTCCACAATCATGACAAGGTCAAGATCTCTTTTGATGTTTAGACACAATTATTGAACCAAGTTTAACTTTTTATTGTCATGACAATTGACTCTTGAATTAAAATAAGAGATCATTTTGAGTTTCAACATTTCTGGATTTTACTTGGAAATCAAGAGACCAATCCAAAGTGTTTGTTAATATTCTCCTATTAGAAACATACAATAAATTGTTCTATATCTCTTTCCCATCCAACATTAGGTAAATCAGGCATCATATGTGCTACAACTTTAAACCCAGCATCCTTTGCCATCTGAAATGACTCACACACTGCTTTAACAGTATGACCTCTGTAAATAGAATGTAAAATCACATGAAAAATAAAATCTGATTGTGACATCATTTGAGTAACATAAAGAATGATAAAAACTTTGTATTTCACCTTTAAATCATAACTGAAGAGGTGTAGTTTACAATTTCCACTAAAATATCTAAAACACTCACTTTATACTGATGAATTTTTTCTTTAACCTCACTCATAACTTAAAAGACCAGTACTAAAAGCCACATTTGTTGATAAGGATGTCAATTGTGCATATCTTGATATTTTCATTGACAAAGTATCATTCTTAGATAATATAAACTTTATATAAAATTTTCTTCAACTAGCTTCAATCTACAATAAAATTGAGAATGGAAATGGGGAATATGTCAAAGAGACAACAACCCTACCAAAGAGCAGACAACAGCCGAAGGCCAGCAATGGGTCTTCAACAATTCTTTCAGTGTGATTAATGTACCTTTTATTATGTCATATCTTAATTTGTTTCATAATTTCAAAAACTAATTGTTAATAGCAGTTTTTTATTTTTACTTTTAATATATTTACAAATTTAAACTGATGACGATTTAGACCTTAATATAATGTATATATACCAGTCTATCATTGAAGATTGTATTCTGCCCTCTAGATGTCTTTTGTTTTGTTTTGTCATTTAGTTGCTGTCTCATTGACATATAACCTACATATCTTTTTTATATACATGAAATTCATCCATAACATCATTTTTACATACATATTAATTAGTTCTCAATTTCAGCTGTACTTCGTAAATTGGTACCATCGAAATCAAATGAATCCACCGTAATAAAGAAGTATTTAAAGATAATAAAAAAGTTTTAAGAATAATTTCAAATTTATACATAATGTTTGGAAACATATAAAAGAATTACATAAGATTTTTGATGTTATGACATCACAATTACGTCATAATATGCACTGTTTTCATGAAAACAAAGAAAACTGCAGAATTTATGCAGTTTTCAAACGTTATTTCTTTTGTGGAAACATTGTGCAAAGCCAAGAAACAACAAAATTATGCAAGAGAAGCTTTATTATAACTATTGACATAATCTCACCAAATATAAAGTTGTTTCTTGGGTGCGCACATTTTTTTTTATCCAATATATACTTAAAAGTTGATGTAAAACAAGGAAAATCAAGTCATTTTACCAAATATACAAATTCGTCATGGTTTGTTGCCATGGTAACTCATTAAATGTGAAATTTGTTTTTATTTTCTGAACACCTTGTACCTTTGTGTAGTTTCAGAATATGTATGGAAACTTTTTAATTTGCACTAATATTTGGGCCAAACAAGGGCCTCATTGACCTTACTCTTTTACCTATTAGTATCCCTAGCTACATCTTCATAGACACTCTGTACACCAATCTCTAACCTGGTACAACCATACTTTAACATGTCACTAAAAATATTCTCAACATTAAACAAACAAAAGAAGATCTATTTCAAAGCTTTTTGGTGGTATCGGAGTTCAAATACCACTTTTAAATGTTTTTCCCCCATTTTAATTAAAATTTCAAACTGGCAAAATAAAAATCAGCCATTTTAAACTAAATTTAAAATCCCCAATACTACAGCTATGAACTAAGCTATCAACTATGTCAACTGAAAATTATCAGAATTTGTTATATTTGTATTACCAAATAAGACAATTAACGTGTCTCCTTGCTTGCAGTATGAAACATATGCATTCATGACCTAAACACTGAATGCATATTAAGATTTTTCTACATCTCATCAGTCATCCATAATTTTTTTAATAATTTACTTTTGTTTTGTAATTTTATTAAAAATAAAAGCTGACTTACTATGAGGTATGGGTTTTACTCATTGTTGAAGTCTGTATGGTGTCCCATAGTTGTTAACTTCTACATCATTTGATCTCTGGTGGAGAGTTATTTCATTAGCAATAATACATCTCCTTATTTTTAAATTTAAAAAATAAAATTGTTTCAACTAATACCTGATGTGTTTCCTCAGACAATAGTCAGGTCTTGTTTCTATGGTGATACCTATACACTTTGTCATACTCTTCTCTGAATATCTAAATTAAAAAAAAATGAAATGGATGTAAGCAGTAGGATTTCAGTTTCTTAATATGATATCTAGCATCACCTTTTTTTTTTTTTTTAACTCATTGATGTTTTTATTCCTCCACATCTGATTTAGATGATCTGCTTATTAATAACAGTCTAAATATGGAGATAAATCCTAACTAAACCTTATAAAATAATTACTATACCAAATAGCCAGTTTGTCTAAATAAGGGGTGATTTTGTAGGTGGGGAGCAGTCACTCCACGTTAAATTGTATAAGGTAAAATATATTTGGGATAAAATATTAACAGTATACACAATGAATAAAAATTAATTACTCAATTAAAAGTATAACATAAAACCTTTGATTGATCATTGAAACTTCAATAACCAAATACTGAATATTTTAAACCAAGAATAAACTCAAGAAAGTCATACAGCTTTTTTTCCAATGGGTTCTTTTATTAGTATGTCATAAATAAAACTCTACAGAAATGCATTGTCAACATTAAAAACCAGGTGGGACTGTATAACACAAATGAATATACAGTCAATGTAATTTTGACAACACAAATAGCACAGTTGTCGTATAAAATGTAATATATCTGGCATAATATAATGGTGATATATATCAAAATGGAATTTGTCAAAACTAAACAAAGCAACTTATTAAAATATGCAGCACAAATGAATTTATTCTTGGACATGATTTATATTTATTTACCTGACAGCTTCATCAACTGTACTACTGGTGTGTCCTGACAGAGCATCATGGAGATTTCTGATAAAATAATCTTTGTATTCATCTTGTAAACTCATAAATGTACCACCCATAACTATAAACTCTACTTTATCTACACTGTGTCCTAGTTGTTTTAGCTAAAAAATAGAAATAGTATTTAACATTGTCTACAAATCAATATATTCGCAAAACAAAAAAATAATGTCAGACATTCAGGTGCATGATTTCACATCTCTTTTGAGGCCAACAGAAATATTACCCTGAGATTTGTATACAACAGCTAGTTAGCTAGTTACTTCTCTTTTGGTTATTTCACAATGAATAGAATGTTAGTCTGAGTGGGATTTTTTTTCTGAACTACTGTTCTTCACAGGCTGAATATAATAATTTCAAAATACACAAAACCCAATAAAAATAATAATCGAACAGTGTTCCTATGTCAATGCTACATGGTGTGTAAACTGTTGCTTACAGATAGGAGCAGTTTCTGCAATCAAGCTTCTGTGTATTAAGCTAAACACTAACCCTCTATCTTGGAGCTTAACTCCAGCAAATGCTCAGATAAAAAGTTTCATCATTATCTTCTTTTATTGTAGGCTTGTAAAGAACTTATTTTTTAATTTTTTCTAGTTTTTGAAGTTTAATAGCGAATCATACTATAACACCTCCTTGAAGGTATATATATATATATATTACCTGATCAACCCTGTGTCTGGTCTGTAAATATGGATTATATCTAGCTCTGATGGCTCTCATACTTGTTGGCTGTAATAATATACATTGTAAAAGACAATAAATAACCTTACATTAAAATACTATGGATTATAATTTATATTTGTGGATACCAATTTTCGTCAATTGATGACATTTTATAGGATATTTGATTTCGTGATTTTGCAAGAATCTCAGTACAAGTCTAAAGATAGATTTGTAGTTCATCCAACATTTACATTCTTGGAGAAACAATATTCACTAAATCCAAGAAAACAGGTATCACAGGAATAATAAACTGTCGACAGAGATATGTCTTACCTGTTGGCATAAATTTCAGAAAAAGACAATCTGATGGACAGCAACATTGCTAATTAATTCAAAGTTGCTGGATAATGAACTAGTGGCCAGGTCCTGGAAATGGTCAACAAACTGAGATGTACAGACAGTAATGTAACTTTAAAGAAAATATTGTTGTTTATTGTAAGTAGTTCCCATCAAACTAACTTAAGCAGAAAACTTCACATTGAAATTGTTAATTAATTCAAAGTCACTGGACCATGGCTTAGGGAGCAGGGCCTAACATTAGTCATCAAACTGATATGTACTGATAGTAATGCAACTCCATACAAAATATCATTGATTTATCACAAGTAGTTCCTATCAAACAAACTTAAGCAGAAAACTTAACAATTGTTGACACCTACTACGACATTGTCGTCTCAACCGGAAAAGCAATACCTGTGTCTCGCCTTCCGCTACTTTCGTCGCAGGCGAGATAAAAATGAATCCATAGTAAATCAAATTAATTTTAAATTTAAATGGAAAACTTTCTACCGGGTAATTGTTTTTTCCTCAAAAAGGGATAATTTTTTAATATTTCAGAGAGCAAATTAGTAAGTTGAATGCCATTGACAACATCAACAATAATTTTTGAGACAACGTCACTGTTTTCATAAAGCTAAAGTCTTGTAACAATCAGCATTTTAAGATGGGTATGAAGGCTTTATTTAAGACCTACAATCCATACAATTTAATAACAAAATGAAAGCACTTTTTTAAAGATTTCAACAGACTTCTGATGCAAAGTGATGAGAAATCTCAACACAGCCTTGGGCCAGAGTCAATTTAAAAAGAGATAAAAGATCAGTTCACCTTCATTTCAAAGGTAAAGGTCAGTGAAAAGATAAATGGTACAAAATTGCATTGCCTTGAGATTGTGGGGATTGTACATACAGGCCATTTATCTGAAGTTTGTATTAAAAGATGTAGACTTCAATATCAAGTATAAAAAGATATGCATTTTTTACCCCCCCCCCCCCCCCCCCCCAAAAAAAAAACAAGATTAAATGCAATACAAAGATAATAAAAGGACACATTTGACCTTACTGGGATGTCCCAACTACCAAATACTGTAAGAGTAGAAGAAAGATCAACTAACCTCATATCCTGTGTAGGATTGTGTGGAGTATTCAAAGTCTGAGTCTGGACCTCCTGGGCAATATCTACAAAAAAAAAAACAGAAATGTATACATAATATATTTATATTTACTCTGTACAAATATATCACTAAAATTAAAAAATGTACCATCTGCTTCTATTCCAAGATATTTCAATCAGATAATGGTCATCATTTAATATTAAAAGGTTTTTGAGGAGAAAAAAGGAATAATACTTATGAACTAACCAATATAAAAATAAGGAGAGGAGGTATGATTGCCAATGAGACAACTATCCACCAAATTCAAATAAAGTGGATGTAAGCAATTATAGGCAACCATACAGCCTTCAACAATGAGAAGAACTAATACCATATAGTCGGCTATAAAAGGCCCCAACATGAAAAATATGAAACAATTCAATTAAGAAAACAGCCTAGATGAAAAACAAATATGACAGACATGAACCAACAATAACCACTGAACTACCACTAAGTCTATTTATTAGATCAAAGACAACTACATGCTTTAAACTTTAAAAAATATCCCTTAAGATGACTACTAATATGTTACTTACACACAAATGTTTCCTGTCATTGCTATATGTGGACATCTATGAGGTTTACACATCACAGCAACAACTGCTATCTGAAATAAAGTAATAAAGTAATTTTACCTTCTTATACCAAAAGACAGAACATGCAAGGTCATTGGAAAATAAATAGGAGATGAACATCTCAGTAAACAAAGGTTGTACAATCTTGGAAAGAAAACAGTCCATATCTTGTTTCTACAAAATATTTGTGTAACTGACTTTTACTGTGCTAACCTTTATAAACAATCATTGTTATTGTTATTATTTTTATTACATAAAATAATTTGTAGGAAAGGTTGACAAAGAAACTCAAAATTGAAAAAAACAATGAAGACAATGAATTATTTTAAACCACCCACGAATTCAAGAATGCCTGTTAAAGAGTACACCTATAACCACAAGAAATTATTTCATGGGCAAACAGGACTCCACAACTGGGACATCATAAAATATTGATGTCAAGAAATTTGATGAAGAACTTACACCACTAGCTGTTCTGATTGGTTTGGCTTTAAGTTTTGGTACCAATACCTGTAAAGAGAAAAGCATTAACATCTATGAACATTATAATGCTATGATGCTGTGAAGGCAGGGAAAAGTTTTTTCTTACCTTATTTTTCACTAATGACAAAACCTGGAATGATTTATACATCAAACTCTAATATTGATGTTCTCTGTGGGTTTTCTTTATCATGAAAACTAAATTAATAGAAAAACAAGAATGTGTCCATAGTACATGGATGCCCCACTCGCACTATCATTTCTATGTCCAGTGGACCGTGAAATGGGGGTCAAAACTCTAATTTGGCATTAAAATTAGAAATATCATATCATAGGGAACATGTGTATTAAGTTTCAAGTTGATTGGACTTCAACTTTATCAAAAACTACCTTGACCAAAAACTTTTACCTGAAGCGGGACAGACAGACAAACGGATGCACAGACTGAAAAACATAATGCCCTTAAGTGGGGTATAACAAAGGATATGGGGTATCCATCCATGACTCAAAGTCACAGAATTTAATGTTTTTTTCTTATTTTCAACATTCTTATTGTATATGCATCTTTTCCTGTTCTTTGCATTTTGATGTTAAACAAGGGAGATAATTATAGACACATTTGGTATGTCCAAGTTACTTTTTGACATTGATCAGTATTCCTGGTTTTGCAACACTGGTTTTATGGCAGAAACATGGTGTAAATATACTACAATGATATTAGTTCTTGCATAAGTTAAAAAAAAAATCTTTAGATACATACCTTTTTATATTGCTGTGGTACGGCTGCTATAATATCAACCAACCTTGGTTGACTTGGTAATCCATATTTACTTGATACATTACATTTGAGTCTAAAAGAAAAGGCAATTATAAGTAATGATTTAGCAAGAGTTTCTTAAATGCAATATAAATTTTTGTTTGTTTTTCATTATTTTTTTTTTTTCAATTTATAATTTGCATCTTAAACAGTTTAAGATTTTCGCCACTTTCAATTCAACAAATCTATTATGTGTATTTAAAACAAAAATTGTACTTCCATGGTCTCACCTACCAGTAATCTGGGCTTTAAAATCAAATACTGACAACATTTCAGACTTCAGAGTATAATGTCTTATTCTTATTCCAGCGAAAACATTTGGGCATTAAATAATTCTCTTTTAAGTAAAATAAAATGCTCCGCTGGGTGCAGCTTGATACGACTGCAGAGGTCGAACCCTGAACAGTTGGGGCAAGTATGGACACAACATTCAAGCTTGACACAGCACTGAATTTGGATTGTGATTAAATATTTGACACAGCATAGGTTTCTGACACAGAATGAATGTGGTCTAAGAACTTAAAAAAATTTTAATTTACCTATTCAAACCATATCATTATTATTTGCTTTTATAGATAAATCAGAAATAACCAATTTAAAATGGAAAATTTTAAAGAAAAAAAAATCCCCCCACAAATTTTTTTAACCTCCTTATGATTCATCACCCCCAAACTCAATCCCAGCCTTCCCTTTGTGGTATGGTAACTTGCAGTACAATTTCAGAGAGATCCATACACTTGAACACAAGTTATTGTCTGGAAACTAGAAAAATGCTTGTTTTTGGCCCCTTTTTCCTAAACATTTAGGGCAATTACCCCCAAACTCAAACCCAGCTTTTCCTTTGTGATATGGAACCTTGTAGTACAATTTCATAAAGATCCATATACTTACACACAAGTTATTGTCCTGAAACTAGAAAAATGCTTGTTTTTTGCCCCTTTTGTGGCCCCTACTTCCTAAAATTTTGAGGCAATTACCCCCAAAATTTATCCCAGCCTTCCCTTTGTGGTATGGTACCTTGCAGTACAATTTCAGAGAGATCCATACACTTGAACACAAGTTATTGTCTGGAAACTAGAAAAATGCTTTTTTTTTGCCCCTTGTTGGCCCCTTATTCATAAACATTTTGGGCAATTACCCCCAAACTCAATTCTAGCTTTCCCTTTGTGATATTGAACCTTGTAGTACAATTTCATAAAGATTCATAGACTTACACACAAGTTATTGTCATGAAACTAGAAAAATGCTTGTTTTTTGCCCCTTTTGTAGCCCCTACTTCCTAAAATTTTGAGGCAATAACCCCCAAAATCAATCCAAGTATTCCCTTTGTGATATGGAACCTTGCAGTACAATTTCAGAGAGATCCATACACTTAAACACAAGTTATTGTTTGGAAACTAGAAAAATGCTTATTTTTGCCCCCTTTTTGGCCCCTTATCCCTAAACGTTATGGGCAATTACCCCCAAACTCAATTCCAGCTTTTCCTTTGTGATATGGAACCTTGTAGTACAATTTCAGAAAGATCCACAGACTTACACACAAGTTATTGTCATGAAACTAGAAACATGCTTGTTTTTTGCCCCTTTTTTGGCCCCTAATTCCTAAAATTTTGAGGCAATTACCCCCAAAATCAATCCAATCATTCCCTTTGTGATATGGAACCTTGTGGTACAATGTCAGACAGATCCATACACTAACACACAAGTTATGTCTGGAAGTTACAAAAATGCTTATTTTTGGCCCCTAATTCCTTAACTGTTGGTACCATAACCCCCAAAATCAATCCCAACCTTCCTTTTGTGGTATTGAACCTTATGGTAAAATTTCATAGAGATCCATTCACTTAAACTAAAGTTAAGAGTGCGAAAACCAATGTGTCTTCGGACGACAACGACGACGATGACACCAACGTCATACCAATATACGACCGTATAAAAATTATAAGTTTGACTAGTAATTTTTTCATTCATTATTCATTTTAATAAAATGTATAGATTTATCAATTGAACTAAACTATCAGACTTGACTGTACATTTGTATGATTTTATGTTGCAGTAAATTACTTAAACATTCAAAAATAGAAGTAGATAAGGTCGGACAACAGAAAATAAACATTTTTTATCTGAACATTTTCAATTCCTTTTTAGCATCAAGACTTACAGACTGACCTGATAGAAATTAATTCTATTAATGTACAGCTCCTAGTCAGGACAGCCCTGAAGACTATTTATTCCAGCAATAGAGACAGATTACATTGATACTATTCCTTGTTATTTAAAATATATATGTACATGTGTAAGATAATATAAGATAGTTTGTTCCTAATTAGGTCAAATACATGTGTCAATACAACTAATGGTTCTTCCAGAATAGAATGTATGGGACTTTGGGTAGGGGAGTTAGAGGACATTTTTTTATAATAATACAAGTTTATCTTTCTTACAATTTATTATCATAATCACACTTCAATTTTTTCTATAAAATTGTATGGTTGGTAGGTCTTTAAAAAGCCTTAAAACCTGCCTTACATTTTTTCACTTGAAAAGCCCAAAGTTGATTACCTATTTAAATTAACATCTTTGTTCTGTTCATGTGCTTGTATTAACTGATTCACAATCTCTGTTACTGTCATAACCAGAAGTTCTTCTCTGGAAAATCCAGCAAAATTTCCTAAAGAAAAAGAATATTTGATGTAATTTTCATCAGTAAAAACATCTTTTTATGTTGATATACACATATTTCTGTCAACAGATAAATTTGCTTTGCTACTAATACAAATGCATATATACTTATACATATAACAATACAAGGTATTCTCCCCAGACAATGTTAGCATCATGGTAATGTAATGCTATATGACTTGAATGTGATGTGATCTGAAATTATTTAAGTATGTATAGTAAAATAAGGGGTTGTATAGAGTTGGTAAATTCACAGCTGTTAGCATCCTGAATCTTAATTGGAAATCAACTAACTACATTGTAACCATTATAGACATTAAGGAAAGCATTGGGACACTCCTGAGACATGGCCCCCTATGTTGGATCCCAGGCTATGCTAATATAGTCAGGAATAAAATAGTGATCCAGTCGTCAAAAGATGCAGCAAAGCAGGCCTCAACCCTAAATGACCAATATAATATCATTACAATGTCTTATGTTAGAAGTGTAGTCAGGATGTCAACAAAAATGAAGGTTTATCTATATATTGAATAATGGGGACAAAGATATTTATATTATGCAAATACAATTTTATATGGCCCTTTAACACCAATTTGAAGTGCATTTCTTTTATACGAACGCCACAGTAGTAGTTGGTTGACCGTTGTGGAATATCCGTTTCACAAAAAGAATGTACAACATAATCAAGTTTACGAACAGGTTATTCCAAACTAAATGCATACCAGTTTATAATAAACCAACACATCAATTCTGAAACCTGTGATCACTGCAAACAAAAAGAAGATGTACAACACTACCTTTTTGAATGTGATCTCTATTCCGATGCTATAGAGACAAATTATTTCATCAAATTTACTTCATAACAGGTCAAATTCCAACAGATTTAGACAATTTATTAACAATCAATATGCCAAATGCAGAAAATGTCGTTCAATTATTAGCGGAGTACATAGAGGAAACAAACCGTTTTAGTGGATAATTTAATAGACATTCTTTTTATTTTTTTTCATGTCAATTCAATTACCTGATTATACAATTTTTAAAATTTTTATTTTTTCTAAATACATTTTTTTTCTTTATTATTATTTTTTTTTTTAAATCGCAACCTACCATAATTTAAGTACAACGGAGAAACTACATTAGTGATTATAATTTTACAAGAGAGGATAATTTACAAGAGAGATTACCCTGTCATCACGACAATGATTGTTGTAACCACAATCCAGTCTTCTTTTCCCCGAAAGGTGACCTACTGAGTTAGGCTTATCACCGGATTTGTACTTACATTAGCTTCACAAAAGGTGTTTCATGTGGAGTATGATCTGCTTACCCTTCAAGAGCACTTCAAGCCACTTGAGATCACCCCCGATTTTGGTGGGTTTCGTGTTGCTCAGTCTTTAGTTTTCTATGTTGTGTTTTGTCTACTGTTGTTTGTCTTTTGTGTTTTTTGCCAAGATATATGTCTCTAGTAAAATATTGTAAATAATACATTTATTATCTAAGTCAATGCTCCCTGATAAGTTACTGATTTTTTTTAGTATTATAATTATATACAAAAAACTTAATATTAACCTTTAGCCTTATTTTTCCCCATTTTTGCGAGCACAGGTGTATTATAAACTTATTGCAACATATTTCACTTCACACATGTGTGTTTACATTTTTAAGGTATATCTAAAATCCCAAAATATAATCAAATACCAACGCAATGATTTATTTGCATTTTTTTTTTAAATAAATAACACTGGTTTTGTATCATTATATATCAACAATTACGGAACATTGTCTTTTTTTATTTAAGAAAGAGATGAAAACGGCAAATAAATATGTAAATATTTTCACACAGATATTTTGGGTTATTAGATAATTTAAACCGGAAGTGAAAATCAAACACCTGTTTATTTTTTCTTCTAAGAAAAAAATAGGTAATACTACGTCTTACGATTACATTTTTGTTTATTACTCCGTAACAATAATCGTTGAATATAGCAGGTACAGTTCCAGAACAAAATAACATTCATGTGCAGTGCACAATGTAAAAACAATATTGTCGACACAGGGAAACAAAAAACCTACTTCAGAATTTACAGAAAGAGACAAGGCTCAGCTCCGTCATTAGATTAAATGCCATGTTTTTAATTGCACCTGTATATATATTAAATTGCACCCATTCTCTTTTTGTTTAATAAATTTCAAAAATATTTCATGCGCTCACTCCAAAATGTGGCAGAATAGTCAACCAGTTGACGGTGGCCGCTTACCGGAAGAACTTTAGAAGAAGAAAAGGCTACTGGACTTATTTAGAAACCATCATTTGCTATGACGAAAGCCCAGAAACTACACAAAAACAGAAAAAAAATTGGAATTACATCAGATCCACAAAAAAAGACAGTTCAGGAGTTGCACCGTTAAGATCTGAGGGTATGCTGATAGATGACACAAAACAAAAAGCTGAAATACTTAATAAACAATACCACTCTGTTTTTACACCCGAAAATGACAATGAACAAATACCAACACTTACAGACAACTATCCATCTATGTCAGAAATACATGTAACATCAAATGGTATAGAAAAACTCTTAAAAAATCTCGATCCATCTAAAGCCACAGGTCCAGATGAAATACCAGCACCCATCCTAAAACAATTTGCATCTGAATTCGCACCACATCTCACTTTCATTTTTAACACATCATTTTTGAAGGGAGATGTACCATCAGACTGGAGACAGACAAATGTAATTCCCATTTTTAAAAAAGGCGAAAAATACCTAGCCAGTAACTACAGGCCTGTCTCCCTAACGTGTATATGCTGCAAATTACTAGAACACATTGTAGTAAGTAACATACTAATATATCTGGACACACATAACATACTAGTGGACAATCAATATGGCTTCAGAGCAAAATGCAGCTGTGAAACACAACTTCTTACATTAAGTCACGAACTACTCAGTAACCTTCATAACGGCATACAAACAGACCTTATAATTTTAGACTTCTCCAAGGCATTTGACAAGGTACCTCACAAAAAATTATTAAGGAAGATGGATAATTATGGCATAATGGGAAATACCTTGAATTGGGTATCAGCCTTCCTTAATAATAGAACGCAACAGGTTGCCCTAGATGGGGAGGTATCTGGTCAAATGCCATACCTGTCAACTGACCCGGATCCTGCGGGTGTGACCCGAGATTTTCACAATTCTGAGGGGTCACCCGGAACACCCGCCGGGTGACCAAATAACCCTGGAATTCGGAAAAATAACCCGTTTTCACCCAGATTCCTAAGCCTTCAGACTGATAAGATATAAACTGATTTCTTTAAAATACCGCCAAATTCGTAATTCTTCCTGGACAAGAAGTTCAACTAGCTGTGTAAACTCAGCTCAAGTGACCCATTTCAGTGCATGGCTTAACTTGACAGCTTTGGTGTCAAACACACTGTTAATTAACACCAATTACCTTAGCTTTAGGTCATAAATAATTTGTGCATTTCAAAGTTGTTTTAAAAACAATTTGAATTACTTCCCCTTTTTTGTCAATTCACAATATACTCTTTAAACTTATGTTTTTTTGTAAAAAGATTAAATCTAAAATGAATTGAATGCAAAAACATATCAGAATAATACTTTTAATTATTGTTCTACCTTAGAACAGTTAAAAAATAAAAATTTTGAAAATTACTTTTTTCATCTATACATGTACTTTCTTTAATTGTTTAACTTTATTTTATTATACTCTAATATCAACCTCTGATATGGTGTGTAAATGTATGCAAAGAAAACACAAATTGGCACATTGTATGTCATGGACTGAATATGAACAGGAATAAAGGCAATGTAACACAAATCTATCAATGGCCTCTTAGTGCAATGAAATAATGAAATGTACAATTTTAAATTACTTAACCATGTGGACATGTTTTGGAAAATGTCCCCTAAATACTGAAATTCAGCTCGAAAAAGTTCGTACGCGTTATGACCTGAGATTTCAAATATGTATGCAAATGCCTGAGGTCAGTAGGGTGCCTCAAGGCTCAGTCTTGGGTCCTCTTCTTTTCCTGATTTTCATAAATGATCTTCCTGCAACAGTAACATCAAAAACACGCTTGTTTGCAGACGACTGTATCTTATACTGAACAATTAAAAATCAGCAAGATTGTAACATCCTACAAAATGACCCTAGACTGCCTAGCCAAATGGGAACAGACTTGGGGTATGCAATTTCACCCAGAAAAATGCAATTCACTTACTGTAACAAGATCACAGTCACCATACAAACATAACTATATACTTAAAGGCCACATTTTAGAATCCCTCAACACAGCAAAATATCTTGGTATCACCTTATCCAACAACATGTCTTGGGTTACTCATATAAACAACATTACAGCTAAAGCAAATATGATCTTAAGCTTTTTAAAAAGAAACCTAAAAATAAACCAAGAAGAAACAAAAAGTTTGGCTTATAAATCTATGGTATGTTCAAACCTAGAATACTGCTCTTCAGTTTGGTCTAACACCTAAAAACAAAAAAACAACATCTAAAAAGTACAGAGAAGGGCAGCACGCTCTGTCACCAACAGGTACCACAACACCAGTAGTGTCACTTCCATGATTGACCATCTTAAATAGAAGTCACTAGAAACTCTATTTCTTACCAGTCGGTCCCCATGAAACATGTTAGAAATCTTCAACATATACAAATTGTATTTTTCATGTAACATATGTTTTGTGGCATATTTATATTTCTCAATAAATTGGAATGTCTGTTCCAATGCTTCTGTGTTGATGTTTTTGAATTGTTCATCTGTGTATGGATTTACATTACGTTGAAACAATTTGTCTACATGGTTTGCAAAGTGCATTTTGTCTACAACAATTCTCAACGTGGCTAGAAATTGTGAATAGTGGCTTTTATTTGCTCTGGATAGTTTGAATTTTTTTTGAAATGACAATCAATTATCATATGCCAACAGGTTTGGAAAATGCAATAATTCCTTGGCCAACAAACCAAAAACAAATACACTTGAGTAAATGATTCACAGCCAAACAATTCTTTTATTCCATTTATTATTCCACAATTATGTATTGAGGCAAAATTCCAGCAGTTTTACACTTTTTTGATGGACCTTTCTCCTTTAAGGTGTTGCATATTGTACTATCTTCAGTATCTGCATACTCTTTTGCAACCTTAAAAGAATAAATTAACAGTAAGTTAGTAAATTTTAAGTAAATAAGTGCAATTAGTTAAAAAAGTTGCGTACATTTTTATCAAGGATGGATTTCCCATATTTCTCAATTTTTATATGGAGATGTAACAGAAATGCATGATAACAAGAGTAAGAAGGTATAGACTAAGTAGTCAATATAAACACAAAGTTGACTAGCTATTGTCAACATCTCCATGTTGACGATGTGAACGATTTAAACACAAAGGTAAAGACTTGGATAACAATATAAGCACGATGTTCACAGGATATTGTCAACATCGTAATGTCTATGATGTAAACGATGTAAACAGAAAGGTATAGACTCAGTATACAATATAAACACGATGTTGACTAGCTATTGTCAACATCATGATGTCTATTATGTAAACACAGAGGTAAAGACTTGGTATACAATATGAACACAATGTTGAGTCCCTATTGTCAATATTGCGATGTCTATGATGTGAAATGTGTAAACACAGCTATTGTCAACATCACAATGTTTACGATGAGAATGAAGTAAACACAAGGTATAGATACGATATAATGTAAACACAATAACAGAGATGGGGTAATTGAAAATGTAATGGTAATTAAGTGTAATGCATTACAATTTTCCATGTAATTGAATGTAATGTGTAATTGAGCATTTTTTAAATTACATGTAATGGTAATTTAATTAATTACATTGAAAAAAGCATGTAATGCTAAATTACTTTTCAATTACATTTCATTTACATGTGCATGTAATTTTTTATGTTAATCATAAGAAATTCTGTTTATATTAATTGTAAAATAATATTTAATTCACATATATTAATGAGAAACCAACAATTCCTATTGAAACTTTTAGAGCAAATTGCCATCAATGTACTTCTAAAATATCTGGAAGTTTGACTTTGTGACTTACATGAAGGTAAAAAATTTTAAATCCTTGCACACACTAATTTTGTCAAATTAGTATACACAATAAGTTTATAGAAATAAAATTATCAGCTGTAAAAACAAATGGCAATTAGTCTGATTAATATGTGTGTAAAACAGCCTAGGGATAATGTAAACTATTACATGTATTTTATCTAATTAGCAGATGTATACAAATATATGAAGCATTAAACTTCAATTATTTTCAATGTTATGACAACTATATTTCTTTTGAAATTTTTATAGAACAAAATAAATTTGTAATTTATATAAAACTTTTTAATCAAATTACAATGTACAAAGAAATCCTTCTTCTTAAAAATGAGAAGAAAATAAGTTAACAACCTAAGTTGGCTACCTTAATTAATGGAAATGCAATGGTATTTGACCAAAATGCAAAAAAAAAAAAAAAAAAGACATAGTGATGTTTGTTGCCTTTGACACATATATACAAATGTAGCTTGGCAATAGTTAAAATTGAAAAGTTTAGAAAGACAATAGCTGACAAAAAATACCAGTTATCAAGTAAATGAAA